ATGAGGTAATGGACTTAAATCTCCAGCACAATACCTTGGCGTGTAGTAAGACAGATAGCAATTAGAGATGAGGTCATTGGATGCATGGTTTGGCTCTTGCTGTGTAGCAAACTATCCCAGAATTTAGTGGCTTGAAAACAAGCACATTGAGTGGAGGATTCTGCTGGGCGGTTCTGGTTTCTCCAGGCTTGACGGATCTTTCATGCAATGGTGGTCCCCTGGCTGGCTGGCTCTGAGGCTGGCGGGTCCTACATGGCGTCACTTGGATGTTGGGCAATGCGCTGGTCATCTGCTGGAGCAGTAGATGGCTAGATGATAGGTGTCTCATCATCCTGCCAAGTTCAAGCTTTCTTGGAATACAGAGCTCTCACCCTGTGTTCTGTATGAACCCTACATTCTAGTCTAACTTCCATGTTGTTTCCTGAATGTGGCCTTTGCCTTCACCCTTGTTTCTTGGAAACAAGACTCTGTCTTAATCATGTCTGCGTTCTTAGTGCAGTGCGCAGAACACTTGACGGGATACCGAAACACAGCTCCACCGTTGCGGACTGTCTCACGCGATCCTCGCCTGCTGATCCTCTTGATGCTCGCTTTTCTGTGCTACCTGCTTTGCGACGTCCATTTGATCTCTTTGGGAAGCTTGGAGGTGGTTTTTGGTATTGATATAAAGAAATGTCAAAGAGTAAAGTTCTATAGTGAAACAGTTAATCTAACATTCTTTACTTAAATGGATTTTCCTCTAAATTCTAATATGGCCTTGGAAAGCTATGAAGAGGTTTTTTTGGTGGTGTGTGTGTTTTTAAGATTTTATTTATTTATTTGACTGACAGAAATCACAAGTAGGCAGAGAGGCAGGCAGAGAGAGAGAGGAGGAAGCAGGCTCCCTGCTGAGCAGAGAGCCCAATGTGGGGCTCGATTCTAGGACCGTGAGATTGTGACCTGAGCTGAAGGCAGAGGCTTTAACCCACTGAGGCACCCAGGTGCCCCTATGAAGAGTTTTTTTAATGATCCTCAAACACAGGAAATGTTGGTTTCTTAATTTTACCTACATATGTGGGGTAAATTGGTAGCTGCGACTGGGTGAGAATGTAATTTAGTTGCTACCTCAGTTCACCTTTATTTATAATAGTATTGGTCTGCACAGTGAGATGTTTTTCTACTCCAAGGAGAGAAACTTTTCATTTCCATTTTTAATTTAATAGTGCTATGCAGAAAAGATAAGGCATAGAATTAAAAAAGGCAAGCACCTACATAACTTTTTCTTGCTTTTGTCCACTCTGTTTTACTTTCTCACTTGCTTTTTTGACCTACTAAATGAATAATGATTAACTCTTGCTGGGGTGGGTGTGTGTGTGTGTGTGTGTGTGTGTGTGTGTGTGTGGTGTTAAACTGTATGTAAGTCACAGTTCAGAGTTTGTGGAGACTTGAAATACCAAAGTGCAGGAAATTATGCAGCGTAGGGTGATGGGGAGGAAAAGAAATCCCAAACACTCTCATCTGGGCCTCAAGAAAACTAAGCTCTAATCCCGGCTCTGATAATGACTTGCTGGTGGCCTTGAGACCGTTTCACTTCTCTTTGGCTCAGGCAGCTGAGCTCGATAATCTTGAAGGTTTCTCTGTAGCTCTGAGGTATCCTGCTGTTTCTATAATCGTGCTGTTTCTGTTAAATATATGTCCTCCTAGGATTTTGTAATAAACATCACAGATGAGCACAACTGTTTAAAATGAAAGAAATGGATATACTTATTAGGCTATTTAATACCTACAGGGTTAATAACACGTCCTGGGTATGGAGGAAAAGTACACTTTGGGTCCATCTTTTGACACAGGTGTTTGTCAAGTAGGCCAGGCAGAAGGATTGGCAGGACTGAGAGGTACAGGATTCCAGGGGCAGTGAGCGTAATGAGATGCATAAGGAATTCCCCCACCGAGTCAGTGTGGTCAGTCTGCGGTATATTTGGGTAGCTCTGGGTTTTGTCCACTGCTCTAAGATAAAGGGTACCTCCCGGGACTATCTGCAGTTTTCCTCACCTTGTCCTGCTTCATTAGGAAACTTTTCTGGTCAGGGTTCATCTTGTATGCAAATTCCACAAGAAGCATGAATTTTCCCCTTCTCTTAGGGGGCGCAGCACCTCTTGCCGCCATCCCTCTTCCACAAGCACAGACCCCCACCGCACCCCAGGTGGGTGGTATTAGGAAAAGAAAGCACTGAGGCGCTTTTGGTAGGATTTCTTTGAGCAGGAGTGCTGTGAATCTAGAAAGAAAGGTCATCTTGTCAGTCTGAAATGTCTTGTTTTCATGAGCTACTTTATATGGAACTTAACTTCCAGTTGCCTCACAAGGCCGGTGGCTCCCAGACCGGTTAGCTCGGGTCTAGATCTTCTTCTTCCCTCCTGTTTTGTGCTCACTCAGAACATCGCTCCATGTGAGGACAGTCTCCTCTTCGTAAAAGAAACCCTTCCCTGGTCTCCTTCCTTCCTGCCTCCCTGACTCTTGTTGGAGCTTCTCTCTTAAGCGTCTCGGGTGTACCTGGAGAAGGGACTTCCTCAAATCCTCTGCCTCAGGCGTCTGGGACACATGGTTTTCTTTGAGCCAAACACTTCCTCGTCGTCTTCATGGCTTCTGAACATGGCCGGCCCCTGTAAGATTGGCCCCCCGTTCTCTTTTTCTCTTCCCACCCTCTTGGGGTGTAACCTGAATCTGTCCACCTCCGCTGCTCCCCTGCACGTGGGACCTGTGTCTCTCCGTGTCCGCCACTGTCACAGAGCCTGCCTGGCACACCCTGTCTCCAGATGCATGTTATGTGGTCTTCTGCTGGCGCACGTATAAGCCATAAATGTGTGTCATTATTTCCACGTGTAGTTTAGGCATCTGTGTCACTCAGATACCTATTTTTAATGCCGCTGTTTTATGGGTTTAAGGAATTCTTGTGTTCACACATTTATGTATATTTTTTAGGCCAGTGGAAGTAGAGCAGGATAACCAAGATGTACAAGGAAGGCAGAGTCTCTGTCCTCTTGAAGACTGTGAGATGAGTGCCTGTAGTACTGGGGGGTGTGTTATGGTGGAGCAAACCTCAGAGCCCTGAGCTCCGCAGCAGGACCCCAGGCTGTACCTGTCAGGGCAGGCGTCAGAAGTGGTTTCCAAGCTAAGAGGCAAAGGACTGGCTGGCAGTATCCAGGCTAAGAAAATGTGTAGAAGGAACATTAGAATTCATTGTACTCGAATGAAATTAATGTTCCATTTGCTTTAACAAAGAAGAATTAATTTGAAACCTGTGGAGAGCACAAGTAACAAACCTAGGTTTGCTTTTTGTCTTTGTTGAATTAGTAGCTGGGAGGCAGGCACATCCTTTGTGAGCTGTCTGGTGTGCTGTAAGGAAACTGGACAGTAGCGAATGTTATTTGCTAACAGAGCTATTCATTTGCTATGGAAGCTTATTTGCTAACAGATATTCGTGCGAGGAATGATTACATTCTACGGAAGCGGGACACTCACTCTTCTGCTGTGCCCATGCTAAGGTGTTGCCCTTGCAATGTCACCACTGATGACAACTTTCTGAAGGGCCCACTAGGACAATTAGATGGGACTAATCACGGTGATTTCCTGTCCTTCTTGAACTATGTAAAATTACAATCAGAAACTGTAGACTTTTGATAGGAAAAAAGAGGGATTAATTTTAAAAGGTTTTTACTAATGAAAATCAAACCCATGCCACATTAAGCAGCGTTTTCACACCATTAAGCACTGTAAAGCATTTCCTGGAACCCCTTTTAATCTAGAAGTATGGTTTGGGAAAAACCCCCTGATTCTAGTCTACAATATAGTCTTTTGTTCTTATTAACAAGAGCGCATTGCTTCGTTGAATTGTGGGGAAGATAATGTTGATTGAGATCCTAACTATTTGAGGAAAAAAAAAAACACTTCAAATTACATGAAATTTACAAATCTTACAAATTTTAGAGAAGCATTTTGAATAGCCTTTAATTGGTAGTTGTGTGAAATTAGGTTAATAGGGGAAAATCAATTATAGCGATAAAGTCTGTTCTTAAATATAAATTATTTGAAGTATTTCCCTGTGGTGGGCGGGGGGACACAAAAAGCTGGGCAGGAGAAGGGTCCTTGGCAGTTGTCTTGCTATGTACGGTTCCACCTGAGCTTCAGCTCGACATCAGAGTCATTCAACACAGGCTGTAGCAGATATTTTAGCAAATACTTCAAATAATTTATATTTAAGAACAGACTTTATCGCTATAATTGATTTTCCCCTATTAACCTAATTGGGAATTTTGTGTTTGGAGAAGTACAGAATATATTTAATCAGTTTTAATGGTCTTCCACAATCCAATGTGTGTTGACAGTTCAGCCAATTTTGATTAAAGTTCTAGAGAGAGATTGAAACTATAGATTTTCTAGTTTGATAGAAAGATCAAAGAAACAAAGAATATAGGGTTTCTTTGAGGATCACTTATGTTTTTTCTTTCACTGGAAATTGATACTTAAACAGTATTTCCTGGAAAATTACATTACTTTTATAACCATTCTTCGCTTCTGAGGGTAAATGATTTAAAGGTAATAAATCGTAGTCAACATTAGATTTTCCAGTGGTCCTATTTAATACAGTTATGGAAGATTTTTCTGTTAGTTCTTAATCATCACTGCAGCAGTTAGAGGAGTTTGAAATCCTGGATAACTTCATCTTAGTTTTTAAAAATCTCTACTGACAAAATGTTTATTCAAACCACTGAACAAACAAAAAAATGTAACTGATTGCAATTTTGCCATTTTCTTCATCCTTCTGTCATTTATCCACTGTTGAAGAATCATTAAAATGAGAAAGTGTGTTATTTGTAAATAAAATAATTGAACCTGGATTAATCATTTTTTTCCCTTTGGAATCCAAAGATTTGCTCAGACTTTTACACTCAGTGTGGTTTCAATGACAGTATTTTGTAATTGGTTTTATCCGTAAGGATTAATGAATTGTTTTCATTTTATAGGTCTTATCACAACGACATCAAGGAAACTAGACCGAGAGCAGCAAGATGAACATATATTAGAAGTAAGCATTTCTTTATTTTAATTATTTAAGAGATTTGGAAATATGGGAAAGCATTCTTGTTCACATTAATATTCATAAGTATTATGATTTTGTTATATTAGCTTCTGGTCATTACTAAAAAGAAAAGTAAAGGGGAAAGGAAACATTTTTTAGTGTAGTTCATGTCCCCTTAAATCCCTCTCTCCCCAAAACAAGATCACTGTGTAAGTTCTTTTCTAATTTTTGTGCGCACATACAGAGCAAACAAACTAGAAGCAATAGTATTTACATAAGACATACTTTTTCTTTATGCCTTCTACATCTTTTTCCTTAGTATTCTGTTTTCATGATATTTTTATGATATTAATTGATTTCATTCAACTGTGGTTAGTTTCTGGCTTTTGTGTTGTTCTCAAATAATTGCATTGTTTTTGCATTTTAAACTGAACTAGAGAAAGTTTGTGATTTTTAAACATTTCTGAAATAAAAGATTAAAGACTGATGTGTGCTTTTCTAAAATGATCTCTTCTGACAGGCTTCTTGTTTTCATGGGTAATTTAAAATGTCTAGTCCCTGAAAGAAACGCGGCTTATCCTACACTGGCGTGCTGGTGGATGGTAGGCACCTTGCAGGAGCAGGGATAGGAGGAGGAAGGTAGAGGGTCATGTGGAGGTCAGGCCACAGGCGATTGCTGGGTGCCAGGGCCTCCAGGTCAGGAAGAGGCTGAGAAGAGGCAGTTGGGAGAGTTTCCCTTGGAGAGGGAAACTGAGCAGAGCGGACACATAACCTCTTTTGACTTTATACCACACGTAGAAAGGTTTCTACCACATGTAGAGGTTTCGTATGGTAACCACTACCACACGTTAAAGCCAATGTTGGTCGTTGGAGCCGGAGAAGACCGAGTGTTTGTTGACCTGTGAGATACCCACACGAGTCCTCCATTCTTCCAGTGCGGGTGCTTGGGAAAGTCCTGAACGGTGGTTGATTGTTTTTATTAATACTTAGCTCTCCCATTTTATATTATCGCTATTCATAATGCTGCCTGCTTAATTTCATTTCATCCTTGGCCAAATTTCTTTGTCAGGAAAATACTTTTTATAGCTCTTTAGTGTGTGTGTGTGCTTGTGAATATCCTGTCTAGAAAAGGTGGTTTCACAGCCACCATTACAGTTAGTAATTATTATTATTATTTTTTAAGATTTTTAAAATTTATTTTGAGAGCAAGAGCGGGAGAGACAGAGAGAGCATGTGAGCAGTGGGAGGGGTGGAGGGAGAGAGAATCTTCAAGCAGACTCCCTGCTGAGCCCAGAGCCCCACATGGAACTCAATCCCAGGACCCTCAGAACGTGACCGGAGCTGAAATCAGGAGTCGATGCTTAACTGACTGCGCCCCCCAGGTGCCCCTATAGTTCGTAAATCTCTTCATGTGTTACATCTCAGTGTTAGTCTTAGGTCGTACAGTTCCCTTAAATTCATTTTCCTTCTGTTAGAGCAGACTTCAGAATTTTGATTTGGTCCCTAGAGTGTAGGGAGGGACAGAAGGAGACTATGGTTCCCTAAGAAAGGAAGCAGGTGGCCTGCTTTCCAGGGTGGCAGGTCCCAGGCACTCTCATCTTGCTGTGGCCACACCCTGGTTAGAACTGCAGTGGACACCTGTCCGTCATGTGCCTCCCTCCAAAGCCACCTTTTTATAGTAAAGTCCAAGGCTGGATGGGAGCAAGTATAAGATATTTAGGACTTTGTAGATAATATGAAGATGTTGATGGGAAATAAGCCTTTGTAATGGTTTGTGACCTACATACCTTGTATGTTTTCTGTAATCCTTTTTGGTGGTGGATTTGAGGGCCAACACTGGCATTGATTTGACTGTCTTAAAGAAGAGGTTTTTTTCCCAATGCCATGTTAAAAACTGTGTTGCTGGCTTTTGATTATTGAACCCAGCCTTAACATTTTGGTATGATTACCACAAACATAGTGCCCACTTCTATTTCTCTTTGATTTTTTTCTTGTCCCTTAAGACCATATGAGCACTGATCAAAAGGGAGTGTTTTGAGAGATTAAAATTGATAGTAAGTGTACATTTTGTTTTATTTTTAAAGTGTGGGATCATAAATCATATACTTTAAGCAACTCCTTAAATATTCTTGGCAAGTACCATTAGGATATATTCACGCTTCTATAAACAACAGGATTTATATTCACCAAGCTTTTTAAAAAAACATAATAAAACAGTTCCACAGAAAACTTCAGTATACTTTAATATTTTTAGTATTTCAACCATTATTTTTGGAGGATGTGGTGAGAGAAAAATAGCTATTCCTAAGGTCATTGCTTTTGATGTCCACACCAAAGTAAAAGTGGACATTTGATTCCGGGGGAAAAGACTCCGATTTTTTATTCCTCAGCTGAATACATGAATAATGAGAATGACCATTACTTCACATTTCTCTTACTGAAAATCTTACTTAATAAGTGGGTCTGAATGGAAATTTTTATATCTGCTGTCCTAAACGTGTAGGACTTCTGAACAAGAAAAGAGTCAAACAGAACAAAATGATGACAGCTAGTATTAAAAGGCATGCTCCTTCACATATATTTTAAACTGAAGATTTAGCTTGCTTTAAAGTTGAGGCCTAAAAATGAAGGTTTTTAATGAAGTATGTGGAGATTTGATTTTTAAGTGCATAGAGTGTATGTTTTTTGTCACCGGACTCTATTTAAAAGCAAAATCTTCATGTATCTCTTCTTGGCTTAAAAATAAGTTGTTTAAAAAAAAAAAAGTAAGCTGTTTTTGATAGCTTACCATTTTGGCAACATTCATGTTATAGGTACAGTAGTGCAGGGAGAGGTGGTGTGGGGAGGGAAGACCCTATTTCTGGGCCCTTGTCGCTCCCCCTGTCCCTGTTTGGAACAGGACACATCATCATCTTGCCTCCTCACAGGACTCTTGTCAAAGGAGAGAACATGGTGTGCGTCATAGTGTGTGTGAACTCTGCAGGTCTATGCAAATGTGGCTTATCATTAATTAGAAAGAGAGTCACTTTTTATATAGTTATATTTTAAAAACATCTGTTGATCTCTTACCTTTCAAAAACAGGTTACTGTGACTGACAACGGTACTCCCCCCAAATCCACCATTGCAAGAGTGATTGTGAAAATCCTTGATGAAAATGACAACAAACCTCAGTTCCTGCAGAAGTTCTACAAAATCAGGCTCCCAGAGCGGGAAAGACCAGAGCGGGAAAGAAACGCCAAGCGGGAGCCCATCTATCGTGTTATAGCGACAGACAAAGATGAAGGTCCCAATGCGGAAATCTCTTACAGCATTGAGGATGGAAACGAACATGGCAAATTTTTTATTGAGCCCAAAACCGGAGTGGTTTCATCCAAGAAGTTTTCTGGAGCTGGAGAATATGATATTCTTTCAGTGAGTTAGGATCTCATCTTTGAATTTCTCACGTACTTCCGTTCATCTGGTCTTAATGTCACTTCTCTGAAAACTTTCTCTCTCTTCAAGAAGGGGCCTCAGTGTGTGTGTCCTGTTGGGAAATGTTGCTTCAGGTTTCCCTTCTCAGCCATCACTCCAGTTACTATGTATGTTGAGTGTGGCATGAAGAGGTCGCTCTTTTTAATCAAGGCTTATACACGGGGAATATGCAAATACAGAAAGGAAGTGTTTTAAATTGGCTCAGTTTGAGACCAAACCAGTCTGTGCTTCAGTTGTGGGATGTAACTTCTAATTTGCTCCCTTCGTCCCCTCTGCTTATATTTTATAGATTAAGGCAGTTGATAATGGTCGCCCCCAAAAGTCGTCAACCACTCGACTCCATATTGAATGGATCTCCAAACCAAAGCCATCAGTGGAGCCAATTTCATTTGAAGAACCATTTTTTTCCTTCACTGTCATGGAAAGCGATCCAGTGGCTCACATGATTGGCGTGATCTCTGTGGAGCCTCCTGGCACGCCTCTTTGGTTTGACATCATTGGTGAGTCTTCCTCAGAGTTTTATTGTCCTTGAATAGGTTACACTGAGGAGAACCTATCTTTGGTTTTCTGATTTTTGTATGTATCTCTGGATTTAAAATTATTAAGTGAGACTTAGAAGTGGAGAATTTGTCTTAAATTGCAGTACTTTGATCGCAAGAGGTTTTATAACACCTAGCCATGTACTGAACTTCTTTAAAATTGCTGCCATGCATGTACCATACCCTTAATGTTAAAATAAGGTTTTCAGAAGTGCATGAAGGAGTTAGAAACCTGAATGTTGTGGTCCAAAAGCACAACTTTTAAATTTTCCTTCTTGTTACATAACATATGGCACATCGTTATTTTTAGCGAATATAGTTTGAATGCTTAAAATAACTGTGACTGTCACATGTCAGTATTTTATAGGGAATAATGTTACAAATTTAATTGTATAACTTAAAAATGAGAGTGCCATCTGTGGCCTTCTGTGTTTTATTTACCACATTTTGGGAATGTGGGAAGCCGGGTTCAGGAGGTTCATTGACCCTGTAATAAAGATTATATGCCTACATGAGTTTTTTGTTTTTCATTTAATTGAGTTTAGACATAGAACGTATTCCCTTACTCTCTCGTACGTAGAAAAGAAATTCATCTTAAACTTTGACGTCTTTGTTTTTTCAGTGGTATTTCCTCATGTTATGTTAATCATCAGGATCTTTAAAAGCATAAGTATGGGTTGTGACTCCTCTCTAGTTGGTCCCGCGGATCCCTGCTTCCCTCTTTCAGCCCATAGCCACCCTCCCACGAAATGTCGTATCAGCATGTGAGGCGGCTGCAACGTGGGCGGCGCGGGCTTCACCTCTTCATTTCCCCCAGCACGCAGTTCGGCTGCGTCCCCAGCTCCGGGCATTGTATGAAATCGTTGAGGTCATCCACACCTCCGAAACCCTCACTTTCAGTTTTAAAGAAGAAACATGATTTTCACAGTGAACTACAATCAGAGTCGTTTGTTGGCTCCCTGTTAACTCCTGTCAAACTTCCAGATGAGCCAGGCCCCTGCTGGGCTGTGTGTAACGCTGACCGCCGTTGGACCTGGTCTGATTGACGCTCTTCCTTGTTCTGTGCTTGCCTTCCATGCTTGCTTGCTTCTTTGTGGCTGTGCCAGGAGACACACTCGCTAGAGAAGTGTTTTCCATCTTTCAGATGACTTGTGACCCGAACTGTACAGCAGAAGGTATCTGCTGAGATCCCATAATTTGCCTTAGATTATGGGATCTAAAAGAAAAGCATCAGTTTTTAAAACCTTTTTTATTTCTAGTGACTGTTTTCCATTGCCCCTTGTTTTCATGGTGCGCCCATGGTCACCCATTCCAGTTACACACATCATGCTGACTTCTAAGACATCCCAAAATCATCCTTAGTTTTAGATTTCACTGAAGTTTTTTGGTTTGTTTTAATGTGTCATTTCACTTTTTGGTAAGATTTAGTAGTAGAACCTCATCATGACATTAAGACTTTATTTTCATATTTCCATATCACTTCATTGATAAGAGTATCTCTGGTTCAGTGGATGTGGGAAGAGTTGTACCTAGAACATAACTGGGAATGCATTTGATGTCAGCAGCACAGAAACTTTTGATTCATTAAGCTTTGTGTTTGGCAACAATGGGGAAAATGTCTTTTTAAGTATATAAGAGGCAGAACTAATTGATGTTAACTGCTATGATTTTTCTCAGAGTTAACATTTGTTTTTAATAGTTAACTTTTTAGGAGTATGCTTCAGGTGTCACGAATCCTTTTTGAGTAATTAAGCATTTGAATGGCTGACTCTGTTTAGTAAAGGATGTTTGATATATAGCTACTGGGATATATAAATTAAAGACCTATCCAGAACCCCCGAAAATGTGAATGGAAAGTAACTCATTGGCAATATTAGCAGTGTTTTTCCACCTTCAGAGTCGCTTTCTTGCTTTCCTCTCAGTAGCTTCCCTTGACAGTTAGGGCTCAAGTTTGTGTTAGTAGGCACTGCCTTTCTCATTGGCCCTTCTTTTCTTGTCTTCCAAAATGAAAGCTCCTTGAGATCACCTTGAGCAGTATATCAGAAGTGGGTTTTTTTTCCCTCTGTCATGAAGAATTAGAAAGCCACAAACGAAGTGAGAGGTTTTCATACTTTTCTGTATGTCCTAACTTAAACTAGGTGGCAACTATGACAGCCACTTTGATGTGGACAAGGGCACTGGGACCATCATTGTTGCCAAACCTCTTGATGCGGAACAGAAATCAAGCTATAACCTCACAGTTGAAGCTACAGACGGAACCACCGCTGTCCTCACACAGGTAAGTGAATCACTGATGATGCGTTCATCAGAGGTGGACTGATAACGACCTGATTTTAGGGTGCGCAGGCAACGGGATTCTGCCCTCTAAGGCTCCCAGGCACAGCTGCTGTGTTGATAGGGCTTACGTAGAGGCACACCAAGGATTTGTATTTAGGGAAAGAAAATGTAGGTTTGGCCTGTAATTAACCAGCTTTGGAAATTCTGAAAGAAGACTTAGAAACAACCACCCACTTTTGATTATCAAGATCTTTCAATTTTATACTAACTTTGAACAGCATTAGTATAAATTGTATCGCTCTTGAGGATGAATGTGTCCAAGTCCTTTTCGTTAAAGCTCATTAAAGTGATTAATCATGTTTTAAATCACTTTTTAAATTCTTTCCCCTTTTGGCTATTTTAACTGAGAGTTGTATAAAATGGTTGATAGAATTGTTCTCGTAATCCCTTTAACATCTTTATTCCTACGTGGTGATTTAAGAGATGGCCAGATTACTGGGATTTCAAATTTAAATGTTAAAATCCTATACCTTAAATTCTCTTTGATTCTTAGTGTGGGCTCTGTGAGAATTTGTTGAACATTTGTTGTGGCAGGTACTGTTCAAGAAACTGAATACTGGGAAACAGTCCTACCCTCATTGAGCTCACCTAGGATGGTGGAAGCTAAGATTTACATGTGTATCTGCTGTGTCCTAAAAGACAAAGGACGAAATTAAATATTAGGAGAGAAAATGCTTCCGAATTCCAGTTTTTTATCTTTAGATGATACTAATTTAAATCTCAAATGAGAGAGATCATCTGTTAAATCATTTAGTTGCACTGAAGAGTAAGAGTCTGTGATGTATTTTTAATTAATAAATGAGTAGATGATTCAGAGCCAGTTATGAAAAAGACCTTCTTCTTTCTCCACATGGTTGTGATTTTTAGTGTATTTAAAATTGACATATGTACCATGCTTTGGGGTCATTTTGAGATTGTCATGTAAAAGTTTTAGTACAGTATTAAAATTTCATTTCTGTCAGTAACCGTTCTCATTATAGAAATTAGACTTTAGAGCATGAAAATGAGAATAAAAACATGGAGTTGTGATAAATTTAACAGGATGAATTTTGAAAGGTTTAAAGAGTATAACTGTACGTGGACCAGTTCAAATAATCTACTAAGCAGAAATCCAGCAAAAGGATCTTAAGAAGCAGTAGCAGTGGCCGTCCGTGCCAACCATTCTCATTAATGAAGACGATCTATTTACCTGTAGCATTTATTGCTTATGACATAAATGAATGAGTAGCAGTATGCCCCTTCCCAAATAATTGCAGTTTTTAGCAAGTACCATTAAAAACTTCATATGAAATGTGAAGTCGATTGACTAAAATTTCCTGTAAAACCCAGGAAATAAATTGCAGTCTTCCCAGGGACACAAATATCTTAAGTTGTAGTGCTGCCTTTATACCTTATAACTTCTTTTGAGTTATTTTCAGGGGGTCTTGATAATATCCTCATGATTTGCTGGCAGGGAAGGGGAGTCAGAGTCTCAAAGATGTGGTCCCCGAGCCCAGACTCCCCTGTGAAGGTATAGGACAAAGGGGACAGTCAGTAATTAGGTTTCAATTTCCACATGGGCCAGAGGACAGGGCGATACAAACAGGGATGAGAACGGAGCAGCAAAGGCATGTGAAGGGCGACACAGAGATAAGAACTGGATTGCTAAGGAATGGGAGGACAGGGTAGATTTGGGCTTGTAGGTAAAACTCGGGAAGCACCAGGGCAGACGTCACTGCATGCAGGTCAGAGGTTTGGGGAGCACTGTCACGTGAGCCACGGTGCATCATCAGCAGAGGGGGAGGTTCGGGGGGGGTCCCTGTGCTCTGTTGAAAAAGCACTGCTCCTTGTGTTCCTGTCCTGCCGTTTGCTGCTTGGGATCTGACCAGTATCAATTCAAGTCGCTTCATCTACCCCTATCTCAAGATCACTTACCAAATCCAGTTATGGCTTTTTTTTTTTTTTTCTTCTTTGAAACAGCTTTGCTTTCATGTTTCCTTCTGGTTTCTCTCGAGCATCAGCATTATGCACAGGTCTGTTTGTTTGAATGTTGGCTCTGCCTCTTACCCTGTCCCTGGGCAAGTGGCTGTAACCCTCTTGGCTTCCATTTGTCACCGGGAAAGGGGCATAGTGATTTTGTCCTCACAAGGGCCTCTGAGGGGTAAGTGAGGTCTCAGCCGCGCTGGTGTGCACTCGCTGCTGGACAGCTCAGTCCCCTCCCTGTCTCCATTCTCTGTCCCTGCGGTTCACCTGGCTGTGCCCACTACCACAGGGGTCTGCCCGGTTGGGAAGAGGCGGTAAAGGTGAATTTCCTCTGATCAGCTAGTTAGGGCGTACGCGAGCTGAACCTCTCCAGCCTCTGTCTGCGAGTCCAGGCTCTGCGCACTGGACGCCACCTTCTCCCCGCTCTTACCATCCCTTAGTTCCAAGTCCTTCTCTCTAGTCTCGAGGAGATAGGGTGTTTGATGCCACTTCTTGCCTTCCTGTCTCTGACCAAGATCTCCCCCACGACCCCCATCCTAGTAAATATTGATTACCAACCTAAGACCTACACAGGCAAAGCCTTACCTTCTCCTTAAAAGTTTTCAGAACATCCCTCGCCATCTCGGGACTCCTAAAGGCTTCCTTGATAACCCACTTGGTAATATGTGCAGCCTCATCGTGCTCGGCGTGTGTAAGACCTCACCGGCTGAGCCTGAGAGCTTCCCGAGGGCAGGGACTGCTGTACGTTCATTGTACTTGCTCCCCAGTAACGTGGAGGAGCGTGCTGCGCGGGTAAGGGCTCTGTGAGTGTGCTTCCTTTGAATCGCTGTATCAGAATTGGTGGTTTTTACCTTCCTTGTTCCTACTGAGTTGTGACTAATTGACTTGAGAGCAGGAATCAACTACCTCTACCCAACACTCCATTAGATAAGTACTATGTAAATGTACAGTGGAAATGAATATATAATGATTGAACTTAGAGAAATTATAAAACCATCACTTGTGGATCATCGTCGACCTTTAAAAACGGTCTGTGGTTTTAAATGTTTATGTAACTTCCACATAAAACCTTTCTTTGGTTTAGCAAATGCATTTAATACGTATATAAAATTTAATGTTACAAATCCATCACTGATGTTGTAGTGTTTTCTGAGAACACTGGTATAATCGTCATGGAAAGACCTGCAGCTCGTATGCCTGCACCGGGGTGGATAATAGCTTCACCTGTGCGTTCCTGACACTGCAGCCTCCTGGGCCGTTAGGACTAGTGACCCTCTTTATTCCACACATGCCAGTGAAGCTCAGATTTCTTGTTCGTAACCATAAACCATCTTTGTAGTCAGTAGTGATTTCCACTATGCCTTATCTCCACACACGTCTTTTCAGTCTGAAAATTAATCCTCTTAGTGTTAAGTAAAAAAGATACATTTTTTTTTTAATTCAGCTGAGTTTTTTTCAATATTGGCTTTTTCCCCCCTTTAAGGTTGTTATTCTATGTTGAGGTATTTAAGAGAGCTTATCTTTAGTGTATTTAAAGTGCTTTTAGGAAATGAATGGGTTTACTATTTGTATGTAGGTTTTGTGATTGTAAAAATGTAGTAAAGATTTTTAAAGCACATTTCTAATTTATTGGTAGGAATTTGGAGTCTCAACAATTAGAACAAGAAATTTAAATACGGTATTTATCTAGTACCATAGTCACCTCGTTTGCTTGGTAGTTGCAGATTCAGATCTGATAGAGGAAATTATCTTCTGTAAATCCTGCTGAAGTAAATTCTCTGTTATCCTAACAGGAGTGCTCTAGAAATCTCTCTCCTGTGGAAACCTGAGAGAAATGAAGTGTGCAGTCAGAAAGAAGTGTGTGAAAGATGTTACATTTGCCCTTCAAAGTTAGTTTCAAGAAATTAGAAAGGTCTTCATTATCTTACTGATCTGGGTAATATATCAATGGAAAATTTTAAAGATTTTTTTTTATTCTAGATGTTTCTTTTATTTCTCATTGTTTCATTTTGCTAAAAAAATGGTTTTTTTCAATGCGCATCTCATGTTTCCCCTTGATTCTGTAAATAATAAAATATCACAGTTAAGGATATTACTGTAATGTGAGTCTTGATGTCCTTAATAGGTACTTATCAAAGTAATAGATACAAATGACCACCGTCCTCAGTTTTCTACATCAAAGTATGAAGTTGTTATTCCTGAAGACACAGTGCCAGAAACAGAAATTTTGCAAATCAGTGCAATGGATAAGGATGAGAAAAACAAGCTGATCTATACTCTGCAGAGCAGCATTGATCCACTGAGTCTCAAGAAATTTCGTCTTGACCCTGCAACGGGCTCTCTCTCAACTTCTGAAACACTTGATCATGAAGCCATCCACCAGCACGTTCTTACAGTCATGGTATGGCTTTCTGCTCATTCGTTGGCCACCGTTTGTTTTCTGAAGGGTTTCACGTCTTCCCGAGTGATCTTTAATCAATGACCGGGAAACCTCTGACAGCACTGATAACCTATTGATTCTTTCAGGTGCGGGATCAAGATGTCCCTGTAAAGCGAAACTTTGCACGGATTGTTGTTAATGTCAGCGACACAAACGACCACGCCCCCTGGTTCACGAGTTCCTCCTATGAAGGGCGGGTTTATGAATCAGCGGCTGTTGGCTCAGTTGTGTTGCAGGTTACAGCTCTCGACAAGGACAAAGGGAAGAATGCTGAAGTGTTGTATTCGATCGAATCAGGTATTTTTGGAGCACTCAGTAGATTAAAAAGTACATTTATTTTCTAAAACTAGTTCTGTGTATAGAAACATTTGTGTATCGCCGTAAAAATTGCTTAAGTTAATCTTTAGCTACCATTTTTCATGTTAGGAGAAAGAAGACCTTTTTTTAAGGTTTTAACTCCGTAGAAAGCAGAAAGTCTTAACGTTAAATAAAAAGATTCACATTATTAGCATAGTTCAAGGCCCTGAGAAGTTCAGGAGTGAAGAAAACTGTATTTGATTCAATTCAATATTTCCACAATTTTTTTTAACCATACAACATTTTCCTTCATAATACTTGTTAACTGTGAAACACTCTTAAGAAATCACTGGCTTCAGTGATTTCACTTTTAGTCAGAGCATTTTCTCTTGGGCATAGTAGGAATTTCCACGACAGAGTTCTGGGTGTCGTGCCTCTGCTGCCCCTTCCAGGTTTAGCTTTTCTGCCCCTTTCACCCTCCTGAATCTTTAACAGTTTAGTTTCGTTCATGGAATTGGGTTGTTATGTAGGCCCCCAAGGTTGAGATGTTGAAAAGCCCAATGAGTCTTCTGGAGAGTTAGGCAAGGAAGGCCTTGAACATTTCTTCTTCATATGATCGGGCAAGAGATCCAGAGTCTTGCTGGTAGATACAAAGAGGATCAAAGTAAAATGTTTTGTTCTCTCTTATCTTTTATGATGCTATTCATAGTCTTTCCTCTACTCATTCCATGTACTGATGAAGCCTGTTTTCTGTGTCAGATGCCGTGCTAGGAGTGGGATGTAGGTAGAGGCCATCATTGGTCCCCAGTTGTATATGTTCATGCAAAAAGGAAGCTTCTGATTGAAATAGGGATCTGCTTTAGAGCATATGATTTGTACAGTCAGAATTCAGTTTGTTTGGGGACCTTCCCTACTCGTGCCACATGCAGTGAGTATGTGATGAAGGAACAAGAAGCCTGCTTCCATTTTTCCATGTTTCTCAAGGTGATCGTTAGTACAAAGAATATAGTCTCTCTCATTCTTTTGTCTTTACAATCATTTTAGAATATCATGCACTTGATTTGCATAAGTCCGTTCCTCTGCATATTTAAAAATTGTGCCTTTCCTAGACATTAGCATTGGTAGAGGCATCAATTCTAGGTCATAGAGTCAAAACCTGAGCATGGAGAGTAATTAAAAAAAAAAAATCGATGTGTTTTATGTGACTAAACTATTTTTATTTCTTAATACATTTGAAGCCTCATTTGTTTCACTGAAAACAACCAAATTTAGTCAATTACAAAATAAGATTTTCTGTACTCCCCTGGGGTTCAGGATTCAAATGTAGTATAGTTAGCGCCTTGAACAAATATGTAGGTTTTTCCACTGCTTTAGAAATTTAGCTGTTAAAAAAAACAGTGCATTCCATTTGTGCATGCCTGAGCAGTTCAGCAAACTAATTTTCTCATACACAAACCGCCTGGGTTTGTGTAGGAGAAAATGTTAAACTTTTCCCTTAGCTTTCACATAATTTTCAACAACTGGGTGGTTAAAATATGATTGTTGGTGCCTGACTGAAGGCATGTGCATTCTTGAAATGCTTGTAATGACTGATGGGATTAGTAATTTGGTATTCCAAGAATGGAACTCTATCTCCCCTCAAAGAATAGATGATACCAAGGACCTATTTCAATACAGAATTCGGACTCCTAAGAAGATAATCTTTATAGATTTGGTAATACAAAAAGCATTTGTAGGCAGCAGCTACCATTAAAACGCAGAAGCGTGTGTATGTGAATCTGTTGGAATATTAGGAAATGTAAAATGGTCATACCTCCTTTCATTTAACTTACTTATATTCACCTGCTTCTCATTTATGTCAGATTACATTTCGTAAAGTTCAAAAAACTAGTTATAGATTCAGGCTGTAACACTGCATGTTTAATTAGCAGCAATTTATTGAGCAAAGAGTTTGGTCTGATGAGGAGTCTTTAGGGAAAAGAATTAATTAAAGGATATTTTTCGTAACAATTGACTTGTGTGTTTAGAGACAATCAGGGCCATACCCTGGATTGTTTGGTGTTTTGTTTTTTTTTTAAGTAGATTATTGTAACTTTGAAACTGTCACAATGCCTGGAAATAAGACAGTCAGTAATTGAACTTAATAACTAGAATTGATTTCCTTCCCCAAACTTAGGTTAAATATAATTGCAGTAGAAACTGGAGGTTTCCCACTCGAGGCCGCCAGTGGTCAGGCAGGGAGCACTTTACTGTACATCCGCCGCGTGTGCCCAGTGGGGAGAAATGGACTTCTGCTCATAGCTCTGACATGCCCTTTGGGGTGTATGTGTGTCATACAGCCCTTGCTAATGAGTACAGATTCACATGTTTGGATAATCGCCGTCTTCAAACAGAACAATCTAAGGCTATTTAGAAATCACCAGTATCTCCAGCTAAAGTGAACGCCTAAGCCCCCAAGCTGGTATAGACTCTGCTGCTTGCGCTGTGAGTTCCCTCACAAATACTGCATGTGTGTCTCAGTGTCCGATGTGTGTAGCTGTTACTAGGTCAGACAGGGGTCTGCATAAGCCACTCAGCAGCCCTTCGTGTTCTGCCACAGGAACATGTTGCTTGCCCATCTGCAAACCCGAGGAGTTCTACCACAGTGGAGATGTATGTAGGAGCTGTCTGCTAACTGACTGCCTGGGTTTCTGTTTAGCCTCTTATTAAGATAATACTCCAGGTAGTAATGTTCCTGAATTTTACATGCTGGTAAAAATTTCTCAGGAATTTCCGATTAGTAGACATTTCTTTTGTTAATACTTTCAACTGTAGTGCTTAATCTAACAAGTGGTTGCTGGTGATGATAGAAGTAAAACGCAGAAAAACAAAATCAGATAAAAATAGTGCCTTATTATCTTTCCATACAACAAATTCAACACTTACCGAGTGTCTCCTATGTGTCAGGCATTTTTCTAAGCACAGATGATAAATAGTGAGTAAAACAAGCCATGCTTAAATGGGGACTTATGTTCTAGAGCGAGAATGGATAAGAAGGTTGCAATATGTGCTATAAAGAAAAGAAGAGGGTATGGGGGCAGAAACAGCCGTTCTCATTATGGAGGAAACGGGAGGCTTCACCATCGCATTCTCTAAGCAGAGGAATATTTGGGTAAAACATGAATGAATGAATGAATGAATGAATGAATGAGCAATGAGAATAGGTAGGGAAGACAGTTCCAGAAAGGACCTCCCAAATACAGTCATGCTGCAATGAGCATGTGTTTTCCCAGTTGAGGAGTGAGGAGCCAGCAAGGCTGGAGGGCAGCGAGTACTTTGTGAGGAAGGTGGCGAGTTCTAAGCCACCAGCTTGCTTTAACACAGGTAGAATGTATTCATTCCGCTCTGGAGGGCCTTGCATGTTTGAAGCTTTAAGTTTTCACTGTATAAAATAAGAGAAAGGGATGAGATGATTAAATGTAAACTGTGGTAGGTTGGCTGCTATTAGTACAGACATAGGATAGCCTGAGGGGTGCGGGTGAAAACCGTCGTCCACAGGTTTTCATGGTGACCCTTCCAGTCCCAGGCAACTGGTCATGGTTTTGAAAGACGGGGTGATGCCCACGTAGGAGGAAAGAGGTCCTTGGAGTTTCGATGACTGGCTAAAGCACAATGTGAGAATCTGGGATTGTTGACTCATAAATGCAGACAGGAAGTAATTAGGGGTCTGCGAGGCATCGTAGAGGCAGTGTGACCCCATTTGTGCGTTAGGGTTCAGCTTGGAACTTGGGGGCCTGGAGACAGCCCGGGCCTCTGCTGTGTTGCAGACTGTGGTGCCTAGACGCGGAGCCAGGCAGGCTTAATGAAAACCAGACTGGATCTGGCCTCAGAAAAAATGGTATCATAGATTTTTGGAAAACATATTAAAAGAAGGAAATGAAGGCTGTAGAGGAAGTGTTGACTAGCAGTGATGTGGGGAAAGGGGTGCTCAGTCAATCTCCTGGTTTGCACATCACTCGGTAAGTCGTTCTGGCCTCTGAAGTGTACCGCCCCCAGTTGCAAACCTAGAGGAAAACAGAACTTAAAAAAGCAGTTAAGGGGCAAGTCAGCTTTGTTGTGGGGAAGTGTAATAGTTCATTTGGGGAAAATAAATGCAGTTCTGTGGCTAGGATAATGGATTCTGGACTCTGGTGTGAAACAGAAAAGGGATGAAGTGTGGGTGGATGGATCAATCTGAGGACCCCACAGCACTGCCTGAATCTATCCAGAGATGTAAACTGCTAAACTTCAGTCAACTGCTGGTGTCTCCAGAAAGATTTCGGTGACGATACAAAACCGGGAACTGTTATGGAATTGCATTTGAAGCTAAATATGTGTATACAGTATAGCTGGAAAAGGTCCAAAGAGAAGCAAGGAACACAGTCTGTTCTGACCCAGGCGGGGATGGGGTGTTCGTTCTCTCAGCACTACTGATACTTGGGAGTAAAAAATCCTTTCTTATGGGAGCTGTCCATGCCTTGTAGGATGTTTAACAGCATCCCTGGTCTCTACTCAGTGGGTGTTAGCAGCACACTCTAGGTAGTGATAACCGAAAATGTGTCTACACATGGCTGCCTGTCCATCTAGGCGAGATCGCCCCCAGTAGAGAGAACCAGGGACACAGAGGGCAGATTCACCCGAATAAGATTAAAAAGGGAGTATGACTGAAATCTTTGAAGCCTGCCTAGTGGGGCAGATTATACACAAGGTAATTCATCAATTCCCTGAATATTTAAAATAAGGGACAACTCTCTTGAAGCTTGTTAAAGTTTCTTAGTGAATTGACGTCTTCCCTTTCATAATGAATAAGAATCTTGAGAACTTAGAGGCGATAAAAGCTGAAACCAGAAGTATGTTCCGAAGGGTTTTTTCGGGACTGGTGGAAAATTCTTACCTTACCTTACAAAAGGACAACCATACGTTCCACAACTAGTATCTGGCTCAACCAATAGCAAGTGAGTTCTGGCTTTAGGTTATGGAGTAATCTTTCTTCTCTTTCTTGCTTTTCATACTTATGGACAAAACTCGGAAAAATCTACTGTATTATAGGTGGCTAAAAATGAAATTGAGTTCCGTTCAAATGTTGATAACCCCTGAATTTCTGTTTCATTTTAGAATATCACTTCTGAGGATAGCTTTATCTCTGTATCTCCAACTGTGACTTGTATTGGTCCTTATATTTTTCTCTAACGTGTTTTTTTTTCACCCTGCCCCCCCCAGGAAATATTGGAAATTCTTTCACAATTGATCCCATCTTGGGCTCTATAAAAACCGCCAAAGAGTTAGATCGAAACAACCAAGTGGAATATGACTTAATGGTAAAAGCTACAGATCAAGGCAATCCACCTATGAGTGAAATAACTTCTGTGCATATCTTTGTCACAATTGCGGACAATGCCTCTCCTAAGTTTACATCAAAAGAATACTCTGTGGAAATCAGTGAAACTGTCAGCATTGGGAGTTTCGTCGGGATGGTCACAGCCCACAGTCAGTCATCGGTGGTGTATGAAATAAAAGATGGAAATGTAGCCGATGCTTTTGATATTAATCCACATTCTGGAAGTATCATCACTCAGAAAGCCCTGGATTTTGAAACTTTGCCCATTTACACATTGATCATCCAAGGAACTAACATGGCTGGTTTGTCTACTAACACAACTGTTCGGGTGCACCTGCAAGATGAAAATGACAACTTGCCCATCTTTATGCAGGCAGAGTATACGGGACTCATTAGCGAATCAGCTTCAATCAACAGTGTGGTGCTAACTGACAAGAACATCCCGTTAGTGATTCGAGCAACCGATGCTGATAAAGAATCCAATGCTTTGCTTGTTTATCACATTGTTGAACCGTCTGTACACAAATACTTTGCTATTGATTCTAGCACCGGTGCTATTCATACCGTGCTGAGTTTGGACTATGAAGAAACAAGTACTTTCCACTTTACCGTACAAGTGCACGACATGGGTACACCGCGTTTATTTGCTGCGTATGCAGCTAACGTGACCATCCGTGTAATCGACATTAATGATTGCCCTCCTGTGTTCTCCAAATCACTATATGAAGCATCTGTCTTGCTGCCAACATACAGAGGAGTCAGAGTCATCACAGTAAATGCCACAGATGCCGATTCGAGTGCGTTCTCACAGTTGATGTACTCCATCACCGAAGGCAACATTGGGGAGAAGTTTTCTATGGACCACCAGACAGGGACTATAACTGTACAGAACACAACTCAGTTAAGGAGCCGGTACGAGTTAACCGTGAGAGCTTCTGATGGCAGATTTGTAAGCTTTACCTCTGTGAAAATTAACGTGAAAGAAAGCAAAGAAAGCCAGCTAAAGTTTACCCAGGATTTCTACTCCGCAGTAGTGAAAGAGAATTCCACTGAAGCCAGAACGTTAGCTGTCATTACTGCCATTGGGAACCCAATCAATGAGCCCTTGTTTTATCAGATCCTCAACCCAGACCGCAGATTCAAGATAAGCCGGACTTCAGGTGTGCTGTCAACCACGGGCATACCATTCGATCGCGAGCAACAGGAGGCATTTGATGTGGTGGTAGAAGTGACCCAAGAACAGAAGCCTTCGGCAGTGGCCCACGTTGTCGTCAAGGTCACCATAGAAGATCAGAACGACAATGCACCAGTGTTTGTGAACCTCCCTTACTATGCCGTTGTCAAAGTGGACACCGTGGTGGGCCATGTGATTCGCTACGTTACCGCCGTGGACCGAGACAGTGGCAGAAATGGGGAGGTGAATTACTACCTGAAGGAGCACCATGAACATTTTCAGATTGGAGCCTCAGGCGAAATTTCACTGAAAAAGCAATTTGAACCTGACACTTTAAATAAAGAATACCTCATCACAGTGGTCGCAAAAGATGGAGGGAACCCAGCCTTTTCCGCTGAAGTGATCGTGCCCATCACTGTTATGAATAAAGCCATGCCTGTGTTTGAGAAACCCTTTTACAGCGCCGAGGTGCCGGAGAACATTCAGCTGCACAGTCCAGTCGTCCACGTACAAGCCAACAGTCCGGAAGGCTTGAAAGTGTTCTACAGCATCGCCGATGGAGATCCCTTCAGCCAGTTTACCATTAATTTCAACACCGGGGTCCTAAATGTTGTAGCTCCTCTGGACTTTGAGTCACACCCAGCGTATAAGCTGAGCATCCGAGCGACTGACTCCCTGACCGGCGCCCATGCGGAGGTGTTTGTCGACATCATCGTGGAAGACGTCAATGATAATGCTCCTGTCTTTAGTCAGCAGGCTTACGCCACAGCACTGTCGGAGGCATCCGTCATCGGCACGTCTGTCGTTCAAGTCAGAGCGACCGATTCAGATTCCGAACCCAACAGAGGAATTTCCTACCACATGTTTGGGAATCACAGCAGAAGCCATGATCATTTCCACATCGACAGCAGCACTGGCCTCATTTCGCTCGTTAGGACTTTGGATTATGAGCAGTTCCAGCAGCACAGGATTTTTGTGAGGGCTGTGGATAGTGGCATGCCCCCCCTGAGCAGTGATGTGATCGTCACCGTGGAGGTCACAGACCTCAACGATAATCCACCGCTGTTTGACCAGCAGGTTTATGAAGCCAGAATTAGCGAGCATGCCAGCCATGGGCATTTCGTGGCCTGTGTCAAAGCCTATGATGCAGACAGTTCAGACGTAGACAAGTTGGACTATTCCATTCTGTCTGGCAACGACCAGAAGAATTTTGTCATGGACAGTGAGACGGGGATCATCACACTCTCAAACCTGCGCCGGCACACCTTGAAGCCGTCTTACAGTCTTAACGTTTCTGTTTCCGATGGAGTTTTTAGGGGTTCAGCTCAGGTTCACGTAACTGTAATTGGAGGCAATCTGCACAGCCCTGTTTTCCTTCAGAGCGAATATGAAGTGGAGTTAGCTGAAAATGCTCCCTTACACACCCTGGTGATTGAGGTCAAAGCAACTGATGGGGATTCTGGTATTTACGGTCACATTACTTACCATATTGTCAATGACTTTGCCAAAGACAGATTTTACACAAATGAGAGAGGACAGATATTTACTCTGGAGAAACTCGATCGAGAAACCCCAGCGGAGAAAGTGATCTCGGTTCGTTTAATGGCTAAGGATGCTGGAGGAAAGGTTGCCTTCTGCACCATTAACGTCATCCTTACAGATGACAATGACAATGCACCCCAGTTTCGAGCAACCAGGTATGAAGTGGACATTGGCTCCAGTGCTCCCAAAGGGACATCAGTCATTAAAGTTCTTGCAAGTGATGCTGATGAGGGATCCAATGCTGATGTCACCTATGCCATCGAAGCAGATTCTGAAAGTGTCAAAGAGAATTTGGAAATTAACAAACTGTCTGGTGTAATAACTACAAAAGAAAGCTTAATTGGCTTGGAAAATGAGTTCTTCACTTTCTTTGTGAGAGCTGTGGATAGTGGGTCTCCATCCAGAGAATCTGTTGTCCCTGTCTATGTGAAAATACTTCCACCAGAAATACAACTTCCAAAATTTTCAGAGCCATTTTATACCTACACGGTTTCAGAAGACATGCCTATTGGGACAGAGATTGATCTCATCCGAGCAGAACATAGTGGGACCATTCTTTACAGCCTAATCAAAGGGAATACTCCCGAAAGTAACAGGGATGAGTTCTTTGTGATCGACAGGCAGAGTGGCAGACTGAAACTGGAGAAGAGTCTTGATCATGAGACAACTAAGTGGTACCAGTTTTCTGTACTTGCCAAGTGCACTCATGAGGACTACGAAGTGGTGGCTTCTGTGGATGTCAGCATCCAAGTGAAAGATGCCAATGATAACAGCCCTGTGTTAGAGTCGAACCCGTATGAGGCATTTATTGTTGAAAACCTGCCAGGGGGAAGTAGAGTCATCCAGATCCGGGCATCCGATCTCGATTCGGGAACCAACGGCCAAGTCATGTACAGTCTAGATCAGTCACAAAGTGTGGAAGTCATCGAATCTTTTGCCATTAATGTGGACACAGGCTGGATTACAACCCTGAAGGAACTTGACCATGAGAAGAGAGGCAATTACCAGATTCAAGTGGTTGCCTCAGATCACGGTGAGAAGGTTCAGATGTCCTCCACAGCCATTGTGGATGTTACAGTCACTGACGTCAATGACAGCCCCCCAAGGTTCACGGCAGAGATTTATAAGGGGACTGTGAGTGAAGATGATCCCCCAGGTGGTGTCATTGCCATCTTAAGTACCACGGATGCTGATTCTGAGGAGATTAACAGACAAGTTACATATTACATCACAGGTAAAATATTTAAATGCGAGGGTGTAAGTTAAAAATAAATTGTGCTAGAGGTACGCATTTTGAAGTGCATGTTTTGGAAAAATGGGGAGTTAAGGGGATGATTTTAGTAACGTTATATCTGAAATAAGTAGAAATAACATCTGTTAAGCTACATTTCAAGTTCTCTGCCTGAGGAAAGTGAACACTTGTTCCATTTGACTGTTTTTGATTTTTATGATTCATTCTGTTGAATTAGCATATGACAAATACATTATAATTAACTATAGTTTTAACATAGGCTGAAGTATTGTTTAGTAGGCTTTACATTTTACTTAGCTCTATACTGTGTTTCAGTATACATTTTAATACCTTGATTTGGGGAGGGGGTGGTAAGTCAGAAACCTAATATACCAAATTTAAATATAATGGTTTTTTTTTTTTTTAAGTAATTCTTGTAAAAATGTAAAATTCTTGTAAAAATGTAAAAATTCTTGTTATAATGTATAACATTATATATATTTTGAGCAGTTTCTTTCTCCTGTTACTTATTTCAATAAACTTGACTGTCCTTTTCTTCCATGATTTAATAGGAGGAGATCCTTTGGGACAGTTTGCTATTGAAAACATACAGAATGAATGGAAGGTCTATGTGAAGAAACCTCTAGACAGGGAAAAAAGGGACAATTATCTTCTGACCATCACAGCAACTGATGGGACCTTCTCATCCAAAGCCATAGTTGAAGTGAAAGTTCTTGATGCAAATGACAACAGTCCAGTTTGTGAAAAGGTGGGCTGTTCTTTCTATATTATGAATTTCTATATTATGATTCCTTGTTCACTCTCTGAGTAGGACTGTCATGGGATGCTGGGTGTGATTCAGATGCGTTTCATATTATAACCTCTTCCTGTTTAAGCGGAGGTGAGTGTTCAGTGAAGCAGGAGTTGGAGTGGCTCTGGAACTATTTGGGGGAATGCTAAGTCGTTTAAAAATCTCATTCAAAAACACTGTAAATCATGGGCAGGATCACAGTTTAACTCTAAACAAGCTCTGAGAAATTTTCATTCCCTTTCTTGGGGGATGCGATTATTCTGGGGAGACACCCGAGCAGTAGTTCATCTGCAAAGCTCCACTTTGCTTTCACAAGTTGGTTTTGGGCGGCACCTGCTCTCGCACACACCTGAGAAAATGAAGAGGCAAATGAGGGTTTTCCTACAGCGGTAGAGCCCGTTGACTTAGGAGAACAAATACACCAGAGAGGAGCTGCTCCCGTCCGGGACCATGGGGGAGGCCTGGAGCGGCCGTGCTCCCTGCAGCTGGGGAAGGAGCAGCAGCTCAGCCTTGGGGACGTGGTGCTCAGATAAGCAAGGGGATCGGGACTCAGGCCCCGTTTGTACTTGGAAGGTGGCGAGGACGTGAAGGAAGAGTTCCTTAAAGACGAGTTTTTTGGGATCAGGTGCACGTAGGTGATGGGTGGGAGGGTAGGAAGAGGGGGCCGAGGGAGAGAAAGGACAAGCCGGTGTCCTTGGTGCTGCCCGCGTGGGACAGCAGGGCAGATATGTCGGATCAGGATTGACTCTGCTGTTTGCTACAAGAAGAGGGAGAAAGACCAAAGATAGAGCATAGGGTGGCGTTGGTCTAAGAGGAAGCATGTTGTGTCCAGGTCAGACTTGGTATGAGGTAACAGGACACTCTGGAATAGGTTTTGTAGACGCTGAGAGAGACGGCAAGACTGAAGATGCCAAGATGTAAACTTGGCAGTTTCTACCATGAACTAACGTTTGGAATCCACTTGAGAGGATAATAACAAAAAGGGACAGAGAGTCTGCAGGGGTATTTCCTGGGGAGAGGGGAGGAGGAAGCAGAGGCGGGTGGAGGGGACCATACCAGGGCAGTGTTACTGAGAGCGCAGGAGGAGAGGATTTTTAGGAGGCAGGACAGCGAGTGGAGGTTTGGTGGCCAAGCAGATGAGGGAGATGTGGAACGGGACTTTGGAACTCAGAGATTGGCTTGGAGACCATGGGCTCTGTATCCTAATGTGGATGGATGCCGGACTACAGAGAGGGTGTGTGTGAACATACACACACGGATTTGGCCAGTGAAGAAAGAGGGGAGTCTGAGGAAGGATGAAGAGTGGTAGATAAAGGGAAGGCTGGGGGAGTGAGGGACAGTGGTCTTGAAGAGGGACAGAGGAGCTGGGGCAGTGTCGCAGCAGTGGAAGGGGACAGAGCCATTCTCCCGAAAGTACAGTGCCGTCAGGAGGGAAGGGAGCTCCAAAGGAATGAAGAGTTCAATCCACATGCAGACTTTCTGGCAGCAGCGTTTTGCGTGGGTTGGTGGCGGAGGAGTGGAGGATGTCTTTGTGTCTTACAGAAAATAAATCTGTTTTGCTTGCTTGCTTGCTTGTCTCTTTTTTTTTTTTTTTAAATACTTGGCATATTATTTGGATACAATGCCTTGTCATCTTTGGGAATAATAAAATTAGGACATTAGATCATTTGAAATCATCAGTATTGCAAAATATCCTGTTTCATGAGCCATAAAATGTCGTTTACCTAAAACTGAGCTCACAGTGAGAGAGAAAAGTCAACAAAATCTTAATCTGTTTGTCTTATGTTTTGGTTTATGGCAGAAGTTTCTGATTAGTTGGAAGTGGAACTAACCATTCATTATGTTAGAGTTCGGTCAGCTGGGAAGGGAGGGGGTGGAGGAGAAGAGCCCCAGAGCCCCCGCCCCCCCTGGGACCTTGGGGATTCTCTGTTTTCTCTCGAGACATGGGGATCACTGGTGTCTCAACTGCAATTATAGCTGGTCATGTGTTGGGAACGATTGCAACTAATGAATTTCCTGTATTGAAAAGAAGTAGACATGATGTAACAGGCACTTACTCTACAGTTTTTGGATAAATATGGAATACTACTTATGTTTTCTTACAAGAACTTAAGTTGAACATGAACCCAACTCAGAGATGTCAAGTATTCAGATTTCTGTGCGTAAATGTCGGGTTAGACTCTCTCAGTGAGAGAAAGGAGTTACTTGTTACACGACTCTGTTTTGTTTTAAAAGAAAAATAGTTTTCAAGGCTCCTTGGATTTTAAATTCCGTCATGTCCCATGTTTTCTGTGACTAAAGTTAAATGATTTTTTTTTCCGATATTCCCTTGGCAGTCATGTTAACCCTTCATGTTTTATGTTCACGACATTACTTAAAATCGTTGTAGACTTTATACTTGGACACGATTCCGGAAGACGCCTTTCCTGGGAAGCTGATCCTGCAGGTGTCTGCTACAGATGCAGACATCCGCTCCAACGCCGAAATGACTTACACATTGTTTGGTCCAGGCGCAGAAAAATTCAAACTAAATCCAGACACAGGTAAAGACGGGGCTTTGCAAAATTAACTATGTTCCAGTAAAGTCGTCTCATATATGTGGGTGGTTTTAGGTCCCATGTAAAATTTGAAATTACATTCTATTCCTATAAAATGTACTCTGATACTACAAAATTGGCATCTTTTAGAAATCTACACAGCAATTTGCTGTGTAAAATTTGAGATAAAAAATTTTAAAAAGATTAAAAAAAATTAACAACATCACCTACTTGAACCAAGGATTTAAAATTGAGATTAGTATCAACTTCTTTTTTTAAAAAATAGTTCAAAAATTTAAGTATCTCTCAAACTTTCTGCTTTATTTTGTATATAGTTTGTTTTCTATAATTCGTGGGCATAAATTATTTAGCATACTCCTTAAAATGATTAGTAGTATTCTATTTGTATTTAAATCTTTAAAACTGTTTACCCTCTTATAATTTGTATTTTGTTAAAATTACAGTTTTCTGGCAGCTTCCCCCGCCCCAGAACTAATTGTAAACATATGAAGCTATGAGTCAATTTAAAAATATTTTAGATTTGGTAAATTAAGTAGTGCTTTTTTTTCTTCTTCTGTTTTTGTGATATTATGTATAATCTGAGAGGCGCTGGCCTCGAAATCTTTGTGTGTTGAAGAGCTGGCAGCCTGTAGGGTCTGGAAACCTAGCTCTCCCTGGGCTCCTGCAGTTGTTGACTCCTGTCACTGATACCACTGTGCCTCCCCAGTTCTGTCATCCGTAAGAGAAAAGGGGGAGAAATGGTAAGATGTGCATTTGCAGTTCACATCTTAGCATTTCAAATGAGCTCGTTTACTTCTGTTTGTTTTTAGGTGAACTGAAAACATTAGCCCCTCTTGATCGTGAGGAGCAAGCAATTTATAACCTCCTGGTCAAGGCCACAGACGGAGGGGGCCGATTCTGTCAGGCTAATCTTGTGCTCACATTAGAAGACGTGAACGATAATGCCCCCGAGTTCTCCGCCAACCCATACGCCATCACCGTGTTTGAGAACACAGAGCCTGGGACGCTGCTGACCAGGGTGCAGGCCACGGATGCGGATGCAGGTACTGTCTAGGTGATGCTATTTGTCTTTAAGACGTGCTCGAGGATTACAGGGACCTCTGTCCAAAACACATCCCAAATTCAGCCTCTTTGACTTAACCTTACCTTAGGCATATCAAATAACTTGTATTATTTAATTTCTCAGCTTTAAAAGTGGAATGGAATCTTTAGAATAATGAATTCTTTTTTTTTTTTTAAGATTTTATTTATTTATTTGACAGAGCAAGAGATCACAAGCAGGCAGAGAGGCAGGCAGAGAGAGAGGAGGAAGCAGGCTCCTCGCCGAGCAGAGGGCCCGATGTGGGGCTCGATCCCAGACTGTGGGATCACAACCTGAGCTGAAGGCAGAGGCTTAACTCACTGAGCTACTCAGGTGTCCCATGAATTCATTTTTTAATGAATATTTGAAGTCCCCAAATTGTGCCCCATGTACTTAACTATTGTAGGACATCTGTGGTGTCCCTAAAATTATGGTTAGTGACTATATTAACTGATCTTCGTATCCATTTGAATTAATGAAGTGAGGTGTTATGTTGTGAATAAACCATTAGTACCACAGAGATGTTAATGTGGAAACAGAGCAGAAGCAAGTATTAAATTGGTATAGTTTAACAGACCTTTCATAATTTTATGGAGAGTACAATCCTGTAGGACACATGTTTATAACATTTGCATAGCAGAGAATAAAAATAATTTCTTAAGTCGTACTAGTACTGAAGAATTAGAGCAATAACAAAAATGTTGCTTCTCAGATCTTTGACTTCATTTAAAAAGCGCTGCTGGGTATTCTATCACACATTCCTGTAGAGCATCGTCTTAAAAAGCCAGGTGACTATGAAATCATGTTTAAGTTAGTAAATTTTTTTTTAAGATTTATTTATTTGACAGACAGAGATCACAAGTAGGAAGAGGTGCAAGCAGAGAGAGAGTAGGCAGCAGGCTCCCCGCAGAACAGAGAGTCCGATGCGGGGCTCGATCCCAGGACCCCAGGACCATGACCCGAGCTGAAGGCAGAGGCTTTAACCCACTGAGCCACCCAGGCGCCCCTAAGTTAGTAAATTGTTAATGAAAACGTTTGCTTTTTAAAGGTGATAGTCATAAGAATGTCTAAGTAATGTGTATTAGCGTTTTCCCTTTTAAAAATATGCTACATGTTTTCTCAAAAAATTTAAATTTCTCAAAATAAAAGTCTTACATATGGTCCTGTATCACCAGGACTGAATCAGAAGATCTCCTACTCCCTGATCGACTCGGCTGATGGGCAGTTCTCCATTAGTGAATTATCTGGAATCATTCAGTTAGAAAAGCCCTTGGATAGAGAACAGCAGGCCGTGTACACCCTGACTTTGAAAGCCACGGATCAAGGTTTGCCAAGGAGGTTGACTGCAACGGGCACTGTCGTTGTGTCGGTTTTGGACATAAATGACAACCCACCTGTGTTCGAATACCGTGAATACGGTGCCACCGTGTCTGAGGACATTCTCATCGGAGTAGAAGTTCTTCAAGTGTATGCGGCCAGCCGGGATATTGAAGCCAATGCAGAAATCACTTACTCGATAATAAGTGGAAATGAACATGGAAAATTCAGCATAGATTCTAAAACAGGTAACCTACCCTGTGAATGAGAGGAGGCCCTTTATTCTGCCCCAAAGGCTAGCTCCCCCAGCACTTTACCTGCTTCAAAGAGATCAGAAATCGGCTGTGGCTACTCTGAAAAGATAAAACTTGAGTTTTCTTTGTGTTGTTACTTTAAGTGGGATTCAGAGTGGTTTAGACCTTTAAGTGGAAAATTAAAGAATCACACTCTAGTGATTTTGTCAAGATGGCATAAAGATAAAGAGTAGAAGATAGAAGAGGACCTTGCGTAATAGTCCCTTGCTCTCTCCCATAGCGAGCCCATGTGAAAGTAGCTTCTTACGCAAGACAGTGGTTTCGACCTCTTTGATCTTCGTTTCCACAGGGGGCATCTGATAATTCATTAAAATTGACGTTTTCATTATGCTAGTTATATAGAATAGCCGAAGTCCTTTGAATCAAACTGAGTGGCGGCTATGGGCAAGGTCAAGAGTCGAAGCAGCTAGTGACTCTTGCTGCGTAAACACTTTTGTTGTCTTGTTAACCGTGGTCTGCATCCGCTGTAAGTCTTCAAACCTTGTAAATACGTCACGCCTTTCAAACCGCGTTTGTGTGTGACTGTTTGAGATGAAGAGTAGGAGTGTGATGATGCTGTTTAAAAACTTTTTTTTAAAGATTTTATTTATTCATTTGACAGAGATCACAAGTATGCAGAGAGGCAGGCAGAGAGAGAGGAGGAAGCAGGCTCCCCGCCGAGCAGAGAGCCCGATGCAGGGCTCGATCCCAGGACCCTGAGACCATGACCTGAGCCGAAGGCAGAGGCTTAACCCACTGAGCCACCCAAGCGCCCTAAAAACGTTTTTTTAATGCATATCATAGAATTACTATTTTTAGGGCTCCTTCTTAGGATGGATTATAAAGAAGGGTGTTGTTTTCTGTTTTAAGATTTTTATTTACTTATTTGAGAGCATGAGAGGGGAGAAGGTCAGAGGGAGAAGCAGACTCCCCATGGAGCTAGGAGCCTGATGTGGAACTCAGTCCCCGGACTCCGGGATCATGACCTGAGCTAAAGGCAGCCGCTTAACCCACTGAGCCACCCAGGCGCCCTAAAGAAGGGGGGTGTTAAAGGAATTGTTAAATCAAAAAGTGATTTTTTTTTTTTAGTGACAGGATGTGAATAGTTATTCTGGAGATTTAAAAAAAAAATGTACATTTCTTTAAAAGAAAAACATCTGTGAGAAGGAAAATAAAAGCCGAAGAGTTTTTTCCTTTTTATGTTATTAGAGGGATGTCTGTAGTAAACTGTGTTTTGGAAGAGAGAAGAGATATAATCACTTTCTAGTGGGATGTGGGTAGTGTTGACTAGGGAAGCAGTTTAAATATCACAGAGAAATAAATGAGCATCCCTGAGTGGGCAGATTCATAATTTGTAATTGCTAAGTTAAGATACTAGAAAACCTGCATAAATGATAAGCAAACTTTTGGGGCAGAAATGGTTTGTGTAGAAGTGTGTTCCCGTCACACGGTGGGAGGAAGTGGTAGCACTTAAAAGTCCTGAAAGTCATTTTGTTTTCCATCTAGGGGCCATATTTATCATTGAGAATCTGGATTATGAAAGCTCTCATGAATATTACCTGACTGTCGAGGCCACTGACGGAGGCACGCCTTCCTTAAGTGACGTTGCAACCGTGAGCATTAATGTAACCGATATCAATGACAACTCCCCTGTGTTCAGTCAAGACACCTACACGGCAGTGATCAGTGAGGACGCCCTTCTCGAGCAGTCTGTCATCACGGTGTGTCTCTTCTCTACCATGTTCTTCTTCTGGATCTTTGCAGGAAATTTCGGAGGATCAGTGGTGTTTTTGTTGTGGCCTTACTCGAAAATAATTGGAAGATGTGGAAATGTCTTTTGTTATCCCAGTCAGTTACTAAGTCTGTTGTAAATTACTGCTTTATAACAGCTAGCTATTGATACCAGAAATGGGCTTAGTAGACTCCTGCCCCTTCCTTAGCTGTCTCCTAAGCAGGAGTCTGTTTTCCAGGTTATGGCTGATGACGCCGATGGACCTTCAAACAGCCACATCCGCTATTCGATTATAGATGGTAACCAAGGAAGTCCGTTTACCATTGACCCTACCAGGGGAGAAGTGAAAGTGACCAAGCTTCTGGACCGGGAAACAGTATGTGCAAAAGTTTGGTTTAAATTGTTTACAAATCACCAAATCAATACGTACAAGTTCCTTGTGCTCATGTCTATCACATGATGGGAAGTATGGGAAGGGTAGAACCAGTCTTGTTCAGGCACTGACAAGCAAGGTACAAACACTTGAAAAGCAATTCCAGTAGGGAAATCTCAAGAGTGTAAGAGATGTGTTTCATACGGATAGAAGTTTAAATAATAAAGGTTTATCTTCAGGAAGAAACTACTCTTGGCTCCATTGTTTGGAGACACTTCATGGAGCTAGTCACTAGGTTTTCAATAATGGCAGAGACTCAGAAAACCATGGTCGTTGAGAGAAGGGGAGGCCCTGTGAGGAACTTCGTCAACAGAGGCATGGGGACAGGAGGATGTGTGTAGCATTCAGGTGACTGTATTGGGCTGTGTTGGAATAGAGGAATCCTACCAAGAAGTGAGGGACACAGTAGAATGGTGTGCAAGGAACACATCCGAGGCTCAGACTGGATGCTGCAAGCAGCGGGGGTTAGTGAGCAGTTATGAGCCCGGGTGTAACTCTCAAAGGAGACCGGTGGGAAGGTGAGTGCCACGATAGGTGTGAGTGGTGGTCAGCCTGTGAGCCTCCAGCGAGGCAGGCAGACCAGCCCCCATTATTGTACCATGAGGCAACAGGAGCCCGGTTGGCAGGTGCCGTGACGAGCGAGTGAGAAGGCAAATGTGGAGACTCCGTGAGGGAGAAATCTGAATCTGCACAGCTCAGATAAGGCCCTGCGTGGGAAGTAGCCGCGTCCGAGATGGCGGTTGTCGTCCGCCATCTGGGCCTGGGGACTGCCCTCCGAGAGCCAGTCGTGAGGCCGTTGACTCTGCCTTGGGAGGAGAGGCAGTGGCCTATGGGGTTTGATGTGTTGAGTTTTGGAGGAGAGTGGCTTATGTAAGGAGAAATTTTCAGCCAGTATTTGGAGATTTTATTCAAACTTAAGAAATGTGAAAGCTGGAAATACAGATATGGCTCAGGCCTCTGGAGAGGATGATAGAGTCAGCTTGAGGTAGTGAGTTAGTATGAGCAACTGGGGAGAGGGAAGCCATGCTGTACCTCCGTCCCTCTGTCCCTCCACTCACCCGCTCAGGGAGCTGCCTGGAGAGGTCACAAGGTCCAAAAGTGAATTAAAAGGACATTGGTGACCGTGGAGTATAGTTTCAGAACACTAGCGGGTAGAGCTAAGATGAGAGGGATCTGGGAATACAGTGATGAGCTACCTCATTCAAGTCTCAGTTCTTCCATTCCTTTTGTGACCTGTTACTGTTGAGCAGGGACTTTGCAAGAGCTTAGGAAGCTCGACTGTTAGGCTTACGGTTGCCATGCTGCTGGCTGAACAGATTTGAGTGTTTGTGACTGACGCGCCTGTCCGCTCCTTTAATGCACTGATGTTCAGGACAATGGTGTGTGGTGTGTCCCAGGCCGTTTGCCCTTTTCTGTTGGGGCACCCTGCAGGACTCCTCTTCTGCAGAACATACTCTGGGGTTTAGCCCACTTTCTGGCATCTCCCACCTCTCCCTCTGGAAGAGAGCTTCACAGGGGCCTGCCCTCGAACGGAATCCACCTCACTTGATGTAGTTTCCCTTGTAGGGAGGGGGTCACAAAGAACTCACCCTAAGGGATTTGGACAGGGGTCTGTAATCTGAGTGTAAAAGGGATGGGGGAGAGTGATCTGGAGTGTCCTGAGGTGTTGAAGATGAGGAAACCCTCGGGGCCAGAAGATGGCTTCCCTCGGCTTCCGGCAGACAGTCCCATTTGGGCCTTAGAGAAAGCTGCCATCCCTCTTACTACGAGTGCAACAGCCTTCCAGCTCTGTTAGTTTTTCTCATTGTATTACTTCTCTGTTACAAGTTCCATTAATCTGTTATTTATTAAAGTGGGAATGCTTTCATGGAATGAGGAGGTCTAGAGTGCATCAGAAACTCTAACCACCAGTGGTCGCTTCTGTTGAGCGCACACATTCCGATGTGTAGGTATTTGCAGCGTGCTTGTCGTCGTTCGGAGAATTGCCCGCATACAAGGTACGGCACGTGAGGATGGTTACTCAGGTCTGCCCTTCCAGGCTGCCGGTCCACGTCTGATGAAACCCTGTGTTTGGGCCTTGTGAAGTGGACATGTGTTCTCTTTGTCTTGTCTCTGAACAGATTTCAGGTTACACACTGACGGTTCAGGCATCTGACAACGGCAGTCCGCCCCGGGTCAACACGACCACCGTGAACATCGACGTTTCGGATGTCAACGACAATGCCCCGGTCTTCTCCAAGGAAAACTACAGCGTCATCATCCAGGTAATCTCGGGGATGCTAGAGGGCTCATCGAACACCTGCCTTTGGAAATGAGCTCTTCTTTCGGCCTCAGTTTGTTGGAAATAGCTTTCTTTCCCAAAAACTACTTTTTAGAAAAACAGGGAGAGTAAAATCCATCTGTCAGTACTACAAAATGAGCGTTTTCAAGATAGAGCTAAGCTTTTCTCTCTTCTTTTTGTGCTTTGCTTTTTAAGACATTCTCACTGGCTTGATCCTTAATCTTACTTTCTGCTGTCCTATATTGGAGAGGCGTCAGAGACTCTCATCCATGTCTTCCCTTTTCCTCCTCCCCGACTCCATCCCCCTCGCACTCCTCCCCATGCATCGTTTCCTCTCAAGCTTGCCCTCCCCAAGCCCCCACCACTCCCTTCACCCCTCCCCCTCCACATCACTGCCCCACCCGCACCCCGTCTTCTCTGTCCTGTGCTGTGGGACACAGCAACGCTTTGTGTTCTGTTTACTTCACGTTACAGAAAACCTGCCTGTGTCTCTTACCACATAGATTCGGTCTTATTGAAAGTCGTGTGTCTTTTGGTCCTTCTATCCTGCAGGAAAATAAGCCGGTGGGTTTCAGCGTGCTGCAGCTGGTTGTGACCGACAGGGACTCCTCGCATAATGGCCCGCCCTTCTTCTTTACTGTCGTGAGTGGGAATGAGGATGGGGCCTTTGAAGTAAACCAGCAAGGGGTCCTGCTGACGTCAGCTGCCATAAAGAGGAAGGAGAAAGATCGTTACCTCCTGCACGTTAAGGTATGAAAGTCTTTCTGATTTTGTTGTGGATTCCTAGAGAAGCGCTCCTTTGGAAGCTGTCTCCTTGTGTGTGAACAGCTTACGTTTCATGAGAAAACAAAATGAGTAGAATTGTGGGGGTTTTTTGTTTGTTTTGGGGCTTCTTTGCCATACCTTTGTTTTGATCCCAGTGTGCACTGAGGGGGTCTCATTTATTCATTTGGTTACTTCCTAGACCTTGACGGAGCTAAGCTTCCTTACGAGTTAGCAAAAAGGCTGTGAAGAAATATTCCTAGATAGGCTTCTTATATAGAGAAATAAGTATCTAGTCATTGGTAATTTTTTTGAAACATGAACAGTGTATATATATTTTAGTAAGAAATTGTAAACAAAGACAAAGATGTTTTTGGTTTTGTTTTAATTTTCTCACAGGTGGCAGATAATGGAAAGCCTCCGTTGTCATCTTTGACATATGTTGACATCCGGGTCATTGAGGAGAGCGTCTATCCGCCTGCAATCTTGCCACTAGAGATTTTCATTACGGCTTTTGGAGAGGAATACTCAGGTGGTGTCATTGGGAAGATTCATGCCACAGACCAAGACGTGTATGACACTTTAACCTACAGTCTGGATCCCCAAATGGACAAGCTCTTCTCGGTTTCCAGCACCGGCGGTAAGCTGATAGCCCACAAAAAGCTGGACGTGGGGCAGTACCTCCTCAACGTCAGCGTCACCGACGGGAGATTTACGACGGTGGCGGACATCACTGTGCACATCCGGCAGGTGACACAGGAGATGCTGAACCACAGCATCACACTCCGCTTTGCCAATCTCACTCCGGAGGAGTTTGTTGGGGACTACTGGCGCAACTTCCAGCGGGCTTTGCGGAACATCTTGGGGGTGAGGAGGAATGACGTACAGATGGTCAGTTTGCAGCCCTCTGAGCCTCCTCCACATCTGGATGTCCTGCTTTTTGTGGAGAAATCGGGTAGCGCCCCCATTTCAACCAAGCAGCTCCTGCACAAGATTAATTCTTCTGTGACGGATATTGAGGAAATCATTGGTGTCAGAATACTGGACGTATTCCAGAAGCTCTGTGCAGGACTGGATTGCCCATGGAAATTCTGTGACGAGAAGGTGACCATGGATGAAAACATCATGTCAACACATAGCACGGCCAGACTGAGTTTTGTGACCCCGCGCCACCACCGAACAGCCGTGTGTCTCTGCACAGGTAACACATACAAGTCCCTGACAGCGGGGGAGACAGATCATTCCATGGGCAACCTTTGAAGTCTACACAGTAACGACCGTTTTCCTGAAATTCCTGTTAATGAGTTTCCCTTCCCCCTCTGTTTTTTAAACAAAGAGGGAAAATGCCCACTTGTCCATCGTGGATGTGAAGACAGTCCGTGCCCTGAGGGATCTGAGTGTGTCCTGGATCCAGGAGACAACAGATACTCCTGCGTCTGCCCGGGTGGCAAGTTTGGTCCATGCCCGGGTAAGAGTTCAGTGATGAAGCATGTTTCTTTTATAGAGGTCACTTTTTCTTGCCATCGTTCTCTTTATTGGAGTTGACAGATGTAAAGCGCATTGATTATAACAAGTCAGGCTTACAGATGAATTGAGAGCAGCAGTCACTTCTCCGTTCTCTACGTGTAACAGCTCACTGCTGCGTTACTAGTGACGCTCTTCCTTCTGATTGTGCTCATGCCAACATAACAGTCCCACATGTACATACTCAGAGTGGTTTTCTCCACATTCTCTTTACTTAAAAAAAAAAAAAAAGAAAAGAAAAACTGGACTCATCGCCTCTCACAGTCTCCTGCTTGATTTTCTGTGGCTTAACATCTGTTGTGGGCATCTTCCCAAGTTCTTGCCCATAAACCTAATGCTTCTGAGGGGCTGGATCGTTGTCAGCTTTGTCCTTAATTATAAATGAGCTTGAGATTGTGAAGATGTTTTTCTCGTGTTAAAAACGAATCCTTTTCTACACTTAATCATGGTGACGCACTGAGGAATGGACAGAATTATTGAATCATTCCGTTGTAGTTCTGAAACTAATACAACATCGTATGTTAATTGTACTTTAATTTTTAAAAAAGTACTTTATACATAGAGCCTTTATTGGTGCTTTCTAAAACTAGGATTTACTACATCAAAGATTAACTACACTTTTAATTTTTAAATATTTCTATTATGGTAGTTTCCCAGAAAGTCACACCAGTTCCTTACTTACAGCCCTTTGTGACCGTCTGACTGCCCATTGTCTTGTCAGTATAAGGTTTTCAATTAAAAAACAAATTCCCCCATCCAGTAGGCATGAAATGATAACTAATTATTTTAGTTTGCATTGCACCAGCTTCCTGTGAAAGTTTTATTTATTCCTACTAGCATTTCCTCTCTTGGACTGCCCTGTTCCTATTCTTTACTTGCCTGTCGGGATTATTTGTGTCTTGTTTTCAGTGTGTAGAACATTCCGTGTGCCGTGAGCATGAACGTTACCTCCATCCCACTGTCTATTACTGGTGTTTTGATTTGTTTACAGTGTCTCTTGTCATTTTGAAATTTAATTTTTGTCAGTTCTGTGTAATTTTACATAACCATTTCTACCTCTGCAGAGTGATATTCATCATTTTTGGAGACTGGGGATTATACTTTGCTTGAAAAGTTTCCCCAGACCACCATGGCTGTGTGAATATTTTCCTCAATTGTCTTCTAATAATTTTGTATTGAACCTTTTTATATTTAGATCTTTCGTTGTTTTAGAATTCGTTTCTCTCTGACATAGTAGTCCAGTCCTCTTCCAAAAGAAATCCAGTTATGCTATGCTCTTTATTAAAGCAAATAAACATTTTCCATTGAATTGAATTTTATAATGTTGTAACCTTAGATAAAAACTTTGATCACTGTTGGGGAAGAATCTCACTTTTATAAACATGCTTCAACTTGGTTCTGATTTATGTTTTCCTCTTCATGATTCAGGGAGTTCATCGGTCACATTTACTGGAAACAGCTTTGTGAAGTACCGTCTAATGGAAAATGAAAACAGACTGGAGATGAAGCTGACCATGAGACTCAGAACGTACTCCGCTCACGCGGTCGTGATGTACGCCCGCGGGACTGACTACAGCATCTTAGAGGTACGTTTTTGTATCTGAAGACTTTAAAAACACGAAATTCTGTTTTATGTTCATGTTGTCCATTTTTTGGAAAAAAAATTAAGGGACATGGTTTTATTCCACACTTAAATAGTTCCTTGATACCTCTCTAAGTTTTCGACTTTGGGGCTAAATAGCTCTTTTTGCTCTGCCATAATACAGAGATTGACTTCTGTTTCTCACAGCATCAATTAGGTCACGTGACAGTTAACATTCACACTCTCAGTGATATTACATCTTACTAATGTTATAGAGATAGTTTATAGAGAGCATTCATAACTGCCTAAAGTGCTAATCTTTTTTTTAATGCACGATTCACTTTTGATTTTACCTGATGCTATTTTTGGTTGTTACTCGGTTAACAGGTAATTGTGGGTGATTTCCATGATGCTTTTCGGAGGTGCACTTTGGCACTTGAACTTGTGTTAGGTTCATTTTTACTCTCCGGGCACTGATGAGACGAGCGTGTGTTCTGCAGTGCTTAAAGGCAGTCTCACTCACTTTTCCCTTCAGTCGCTAAACGTATCTCTCCTTTGGATGTTTGATCAGAGTTCCTCACGGACGATCCTGCAAGAGTAATGGAATGGTAATTGTCTTTGTCACAGATTCATAATGGAAGGCTGCAGTACAAGTTTGACTGTGGAAGTGGTCCTGGCATCGTGTCTGTTCAGAGCATTCAAGTCAACGATGGGCTGTGGCATGCCGTGTCTCTAGAAGTGAATGGAAACTATGCTAGGTTGGTTCTAGACCAAGTTCATACTGCATCAGGCACAGCCCCCGGGACCCTGAAAACCCTAAACCTGGATAACCATGTGTTTTTTGGTGGCCACATCCGTCAGCAAGGCACCAGGCACGGGAGAAGCCCCCAAGTCGGGAACGGTTTCCGGGGCTGTATGGACTCCATCTATTTGAACGGGCAGGAGCTCCCTCTGAATAACAAACCGAGAAGCTATGCACACATCGAAGAATGGGTGGACGTCTCTCCCGGGTGCTTACTAACAGCTACTGCAGACTGCTCCGGCAACCCTTGCCAGAACGGGGGCGTCTGCCACCCGTCTGCTGCTGGAGGTAGGCCTCGCGCGCTAGTCGTCTTCAGAGCGCTACACGTGGAGACGCTTGGGAGCCTCGGGTCTCTCTCTTTCCCCTTCCCATGCGAGCGATGCTGTCGGATCCTGCAGTCAGTGTGGGAACTGAGGGAACCCAGAGCAGGCTGGACTCAGGATTGTTCCCCCTCGAGTCAGGCTTCAGCACCTCCTCCTTGTTCCACACCAGGAACCGCCGGTGAACCACAGCTGACTCTGCCCTCTTCTTCCCTCTGGTGTTTATTTTGCACAGGCTTCTTCAGTCACATCGGGACTGAGAACTGTGCACTCTGTCCTTCCGAAGGGCCCCCTTAGGTCTGGTGGCTCAGCATCTAGGAACTGCTAGCCCTGCTGCAGATGGGGTTTGGTTTTCCAGAACGCCTCGAACCCTCTTGGAGTAGAACCAGTCCTGTCCCGAAGCCTCAGAGTAGTAGAGCACTCTGTGGCGTTTGTTAACCTGGCCCCTTTTTGTTCCCTTCCCAGTAATAGATGCCGTGAAAGGACAGGACAGTCACGGTGCCTGATCAGTAGAGCTGTGTGTGATGAATGGAGCAAAAACGAGAATGGCGCTTCAGTGGGATTTCAGAGGATTTGGCATGGTGTTATTTGGGGGCATGTTTGTGCATACCCTACACATGCAAAGAACAGGCGAGGTTATCCCCACAAAAGGACGCCACGTGAAGGTTTATCCCGTGATCATGTTCCATGTCCACATCGGGTCAGCGGGGACACCGTCCTCGTTGACTCAGGGATGGGACTGAGAGAAGCATTTTCTTGAAACGGGCTACTGTGATTCCTATAGCAGCAGGAGGATGAGAGCGTGGTGCCACACACAGGCTCATAAAGCTCCTGGCTTAGAGTATCGCGTCTTTGGCTAGAGAAGCTCTCACAGCCGTGCCCACCTTCAGAGGCAGCGGGGCAGTGCAGTCCTGCCCCAAGGACAGTTGGAAAAAGTCTATCACATGAGCTGTCCCCTGTCACAGTCTTTGCAAGAAATCTGACGTCGTTTATGCTCGTTTGGACACACATGACAGTCCCCTTCTCCGATGGTAGTTCATAGTCTCCCGAGTGCTTTCACGTTACTATCGCAGCCTTTAAAAGTTTGGGAGCTGCAAATGAACGGGGATGTGTTCGGTCATAAGTGCTCTCAGTCCGCATGGTCACTCTAAGAAGGGACTTTTTCTTTGCTGTCTGTGCTTGGCCCACAAGTTCTGATTAACTGAAGCTAATTATGGGTTCCCTCTGCAGCTCTTCTGGTTTGGTTTTTACCAACAGTGGAAGTGAGATATTGTTGATACAGACGACACTGTACCCAGAGAGAATGGGAATTGTACGAACTTCTGTGGGTCTTACGGTTGTTAACAAGGGCTTCTCTTAAAAGTAAAAACCAGTATTATACTAAGATAGATTTTTTTAGTTACTGGATGAGCTTTTTTTTTCCCTCTCGCACCTACAGGTTATTACTGCAAGTGCAGCGCCCTGTACGTTGGGGCGTCCTGTGAGCTGAGTGTTAACCCGTGCTCCTCCAATCCGTGCCTTTACGGTGGCACATGCATCGTGGACAACGGGGACTTTGTGTGTCAGTGCAGAGGCTTATACACCGGTCAGAGGTCAGTGTAGCTCTCGGGGTCAAAGTCCTGGAAATGCCTCCTTTTGTTCTCTATTGTGTTGTCCTTTGCAGTACGAGTGTGACACTGATGCCTCTATCCCTCTCCTCCCGCAGGTGCCAGCTTAGCCCCTACTGCAAGGATGAGCCCTGCAAAAACGGGGGCACGTGCTTTGACAGTTTGGATGGTGCTGTCTGCCAGTGTGATTCGGGTTTTAGGGGAGAAAGGTAACTGGCTTCTTCTAGCACCTGTGTTTGTACCTCTCCGTCTTGTCACATCCATTCGCAGACGTAGCAGAGCTCTGTTCATGTGGGGCAACACTGCTTTAGAATCTCACGTTCTACACCCTTAGGTCTTTGCAGCTGTTATCTTTTCACTGTTTAAAATACAGAGCAGGTAACTGCAAGGTCGTGCTTGAAAATGCCTACTAACGTACGTGAGAGATCTTTATGAACAAGGTGCTTGCAGGCAGGACGCGTGTGGGGAGCGGTAGTTCTGTTACGGCAGACGCACCTGGAGTTGTTACCTGTCTTTTCAGTGGGACAACAGTGACCCCTCTTCAGAATATGTCATAACTCACGTTTATCTAGTATCTAGCAGCTGTTTTCTGCGGGAGGAAAATGGGGCACAGAGGGGCTCATGATACACCTTGAAAGAGGCAGGCGTTTTACTGTTGCCCTTTCACTGTTCGGTTTACCAAGTAACTGCACGTTGACTCTCAGTGCCTCCCACCTCCCTGAGGTGTGCCCCGTCCATCCTGTGGGCAGGCTGTGAGGGCGAGCTGCCTGTGGGTGTCTGCCTACGCTTCTGCTTCAGCGGTGGTTGGAGTAGTGAGTTTTGCCATCAGTCACATGGTCTTAGTTCCTTCTTAAGATTTTATTTGACTGAGAGAGGGACACAAGAATGGGGAGCGGGAGAGGGAGAAGCAGGCTTCCCACTGAGCAGGGAGCCTGATGCGGGGCTTGATCTCGGGACCCTGGGATCATGACCCTGAGCTGAAGACAGACACTTAATGACTGAGCCACCCAGGCACCCTGTGGTCTTAGTTCTTAAACTGACTTTCCTAATTCCAGTCAGTTGATAATATATTTGACAAAAATGTCTAAACTGTTGACTGGCAGTTGAGTACAGGGAAGAGCAGTAGATATATTTTATAAAAGTGGGGAGGCTTTGAGAAGTGTCGGGCACATCTGCGCAGGCCCCCGTTTGGAAAGGCAGAGGGGGTGGAGCGGCCTGGGAATGTTCGGTCAGGTGAGGGGATGTGGGAGGTTTTCAGCAGGAGAAATGTTTTAAAATGGAAAATTTCTAACCTTTTGCATGTTTTATGCAACCATCCTATTTCTGAACAGGAAGATTTTCTTAGAGATCTAAGCTAGCCTTTTAGAACAGTTTCCAGCATGCCATGTATCCAGTGTGCATTCTGAACAAAGAGAATGAGACACAGACTCAATGCTTAGCCGGTGGGTTTGGTTTAATCATCTGTGGCATTCTAAAAAAAAGGCAGTTAAATACGGCGTGATGTCATGCATCTCTCCCCGAGGTACCCAGTGTAGACTCACGTGACTAATTACTCCATGAGGAGTTTTTTTTCGCTGTAATAACTTGCTGGTAGCGTTTTTTTGGTGGTTACTCACGCTGTTGTGTTTGTGTTCAGTCCCTGGGCTCTGGGAACTAGGGGGGCTGGCCTGTTGAGACGTGTGTGGCAAGTGTCTGTCCTCGTTCTTGGCAGATGTCAGAGTGACGTTGATGAGTGTGCCGCCAGCCCCTGTCGCAACGGGGCGCTGTGTGAGAACACGCACGGCTCCTACCACTGCAACTGCAGCCGTGAGTACCGGGGCCGACACTGTGAGGACGCCACGCCCAATCAGTACGTGTCCACTCCGTGGAACATCGGCCTGGCCGAGGGGATAGGCATTCTCGTCTTTATAACGGGGATCTTCCTGCTGGTGGGGCTGTTTGTCCTCTGCCGCAAGATAGTCAGTCGGAAGAAGAAGCACCAGGCCGAACCCGAAGACAAGCACCTGGGCCCCGGCGCCGCTTTTTTGCAAAGACCGTATTTTGATGCCAAGCTCAATAAGAACATTTACTCAGACATACCACCCCAGGTGCCTGTCCGTCCTATCTCCTACACTCCAAGCATTCCAAGCGACTCTAGGAACAACCTGGACCGCAATTCCTTTGAAGGATCTGCCATCCCGGAGCATCCGGAGTTCAGCACCTTTAACCCCGAGGCTGTGCACGGACACCGGAAAGCCGTGGCCGTCTGCAGCGTGGCTCCAAACTTGCCGCCCCCGCCGCCCTCAAACTCCCCATCGGACAGTGACTCCATACAGAAGCCCAGCTGGGACTTCGACTACGACAGTAAGCGTGGCCCTTTGCACCTGCATCAAATGTCATTAGCTGAACCGTGACCTTGTACCTTCTGCCAGAGCAGCCGGTGGGCCCAGTCACGTGGTGGAGCCCGTGGCAGGGATTAGTGCGCTGGGGCTCCCGGACCTGGGGGTGTGATGTGAGGTGCTTGTCGTGGCCGAGAGCCGTGGTGGTGATGGTCTGTCAATCAAGGACCTCACACTAATATTCAGGAGGGAGCATCTCTTTCTTGGATGGATATGGGCTCTCAGGATTTAGGGGGCTTATTAGGACAAATTAGGAAGAGTATTTGTATGATGGATTTTTTTAAAGATTTTATTTTTTATTTGACAGACAGAGACCACAAGCAGAGAGGCAGGCAGAGAGAGAGAAAGGGAATTAGGCTCCATGCTGAGCAGAGAGCCTGATGCAGAATTCGATCCCAGGATCCTGGGATCGTGACCTGAGCCGAAGGCAGAGGCTTTGACCCACTGAGCCACCCAGGCGCCCCTGTATGATGTTTTAAAAAGGGAAGCATAGTATTTGTAACCGCAGTCTGTATCGTTTGATGCTTTAAAAATGGCTTTTTAAGAGGAGGTTTTAAGGGGCGCCTGGGTGACTCAGTGGGTTAAAGCCTCTGCCTTCAGCTTGGGTCATGATCCCAGGGTTCTGGGATCCAGCCCCGCATGGGACCCTCTGCTCGGTAGGGAGCCCGCTTCCCTTCCTGTCTCTCTCTGCGTGCCTCTCTGCCTACTTGTCTATCAAATTAAAAAAAAAAAAAAAAAAAAAGGTTTTAATTCCCCATACTGTCTCATGATCTCCGCAGGTGGGTTTATGGAGACTTTCTCTCTTGGAATCTGCGAGAATACTTGCAGGTTTGAAGGTTTTCGGTTTTTCAGTCACTTCCCCCGTTTTCTTTCGGTTGCTCCTGTAGGCCGGCAGGCTCGGGCAGCGTTCGGGTGTGCTTGCCTGTGTGAGGACACGGCGGCGAGCCAGGCAGAGGCCTCCCCTCCTGGGGCTGACCATCGTTCTCTCCTCTTCCTTTTAGCTAAAGTCGTGGACCTCGATCCCTGTCTGTCCAAGAAGCCCCTGGAGGAAAAGCCTTCGCATCCATACAGCGCCCGGGAGAGCCTGTCAGAGGTGCAGTCCCTCAGCTCCTTCCAGTCTGAGTCCTGCGATGACAATGGTGAGTAAAGAGTCTGAAACGCCGCGCAGGCTTGCTTGCCACGCTGTGGGCGTGGCGTTGCGTGTGGAGTGTCGCGGGTGTGCCCAGGGCGCTTGTGGAGGCTCCGACAGTTCACGTCCCACTCGGGACCACCAGTACACAGCCCCTTGTACAACTTGCATGAGCGTCTGCAGCGGGGAGAATATTTCAGACGTTCCTAATGGGGTAGGTCTTTGAACTGCAGCAACCGGTCGGAAATAGGAAGAAAACATACTTAACGGAGAGATTTTTTTCTGATTGGGTTGTTTTTTTTTTTCCCACAATAGTAAATGTTCTAGAGGTGGTGTGGGGTTCTAAAAAAATGCTTGCAGCAGCTTTCTTGACCACAGCCCCCCACCCACCCTCCTCCTGCTGCACCCCTGGGAGGCGATGTCTAGTTGGAATGTTCAGCTCGGGGAGCTCCTTCACTATTACAAGGTTTTATTTGTCTCTTCCCCCAACTCCCCTGCGGCCCCAGCTCCCATTTGGATCAGAGCGTACTGACTGAGAGCACAGTTTAAGAGACTGCTAGTAAGTCTGATTATATTTCTAATGAAGAAAGTTTGACAGTGGGATCTTTGATGCCAGTTCTGTTGATCTGATTTCTCTAGGTAAACTGCATCAGTAACCAGCTTTGCCATGATAACACAGAGCAGTAGAGAAAATGGTCAATATTCAGTAATAAAATAGTTGTTAGTAGAAATTTTTGCAGCTCAGAATTAGTAAGTTTGACTTTTTTTTTTTGCATAAAAATGTATTTAGCCATTTCAAATATTTGGTGGAAAGAATTAACCCATTATTATTAATTTCTAAACCCAGAGTAATAGATCATATTTCAGTCTTTTCCCAAAGTAAAGATGGCCACAAGTTTACTCCATTCATTTCTGATTTCAAGCATCTTATGTGTCAGAGTTCACCTGTGTTTATTACTTATTACTTAGTGACGGAGTCTGTGAGCATAGCTTTGCTTATTAAATCAACAGAACGAATTCTTTCTTCCATTAGGTTTAATTTAAAACATTAGTGTTGCCAGTTTATGTAATTTATATTTTGGTTCCTCAAATGCTCTTCATAAATAAATTTCAGAATCTTGTCAGTGTTTTCCTCAGAATATCATTCTTCTTAATACTGCTAACAGCTTTTAATAAACTGTGGCCCATCAGTTACAAAAGTTAATTGCTGGAAAATTTAGCATGAGAAAGAAAACATATCCAGGAGTGTTTGTATTTTAATTTTTATCAGTCAGAAAGTCCGGATAAAGAACGTGGACTTAAATTATATTTTTAGTTTTCTGAGGCTTTCATAACAGATCCCCACGAAGGTGGTGGCTAAACACAAGGTAAATTTATAACCTTACAGTTCTGTAGTTTAGAAATCCCACCGTAGGTCAGTGGGCTCATATGGAAGTGTTGGCAGGGCCGCTGTGTTTCTGCCCCCTCTAGAGGAGAACCTGCTCCCTGACCTTTCCCAGCTTCTAGAAGCTGGTCTCCTTGCAAAGACAGCATTGCCTCGCTCCTTGACCATTCTTCTGTAGTCCTCGCTCCCTCCACCCACTACAGACCATTTAGGAAAATCTCCCCATCTCCAGACCTTTAATCATACCAGCAAAGTCAGTTCCTTTGCCAGGGATGGTAACATATTCACCATCTCCCAGGATTAGATGTGGACATCTTGGAGGGCCATTGTTCAGCTTACCACATGCACACATGTTTATCTTGGCGTAGATGCTTTAAAACAATCTGATCTATAAATAAAAGGGAATTTACCTAGGAAACAGCCAGGCAGACAGTCTGCATTTCTCTGCTGGTATGTTAGCTCCCCAGTTGTTAGCCCGTCTGCAAAAAAAAGATAAGAAATTTGTAGTTGGGAGTACATAGAACGGAATTAAAGCCAGTTTTGTATTTATATTACATATTTTATCTTATTATGTAATACTAAATTTTTCTTGGAAGGTACAAATTCATTAAATAAACCCAGAAAATTGGCTTAGCAAGCACTTTACAGTTTAAATGTGAATTCTTTTGCCCATGAGATGTTTAAATAAGGATTGTTTTGTCATGACTAGATCTGTGAGAAAACTTAGAGCTAAAATATGTCTTATAGTATAGTGTGCTTACTTTAGCCCTTTGATTAATAACGACTGCGTATAGCTTGATTAGAAAAATATCTAAGATACATAATAGCAAGACTGTAGGAGTCATGCATAATTATATTACGTGTTATGTTAAAGTTTTCACATTTTTAAATTAGGAGGTAGAAATTATATAAAGAAATCCTATTTCATGCACTATTTTCTAACTGAAGATTTTCCTAATTTACTCCTTTTGTACCTTTTTACAAGCTTCCATAGTGACCGTAATCCACCTTGTCAACGCTGTCGTTGACACGGTGAATGAAGAAGGTATAGTCATAGTACGTGTGCTGTATGTTTGTGTTTATAGTCCCTGCCACAGAGAATCCTGTGCTTTCGCCTGTTGTAGTGTATTAAAAAAAAGTGTGTGGTTTTGAGGGGGTTGAGTACTTCTGTGCATGGTGTGTATGTATATTCGTAATCCAGATATGTTGCAAAAATATCCTTACGTAATGTTACGTCTTTGTCACTCTTTGCCACTCGTCGTGAATTTATATAGACATCAAAAGTGACCTGTGGGATCTTGACGGCTTGGCTTTACATGACATGGTATTAAGAAGCTTAGTAGTTACATTCTAGCTGAACATTTCTTTTTTTCAATCTTCTTCATAGGAATAACACTAACACACAGCTTTTATAATTACCTGAGTGTGATTAAGGATAATGATAGAACATGGCAGAAAGTAATTATTTTCATTATATGGTGTAGTGAAAATTAATATGAAGCTTTATCTCTGTTTAAAATTCTCTGAAAGGGCATTGATCAGCACCTAACGTTACTTTAAATTAAATAAGCCCTTTATTAATGCACTGAAGGTAGGAGTAATCACATGTAAATTGCACAGCCTAGTAGCTTTTAAATTGTAAATCCCATCTCCGGGAGGGCTTAGAATTTACCTTTCTCTACACAATCAAGAGTGCATTACCCTTAGGGGATCGTCTTTGGGAAGACAGGTGTGTTTTTAAGATTGAGTTGAGAGGATGGTTTCAGGATAGGGCAGGCCAGGCAGAAGGTTGTAACTTCCCAAGAACAAGTACTGTGTCTTGGGCAATGGTAAAGTGATCTGTATTTTGTCTGGTGGATTTTAGTTATAAATATTGATGGAATTTTAGAAAGCAGAACTTAAAACCATTCTTTCATGGGCTCTCCTTCACTGAAAAGTAATAGAAACTGTATTTAAAGTTGACTGCTTGCTTGAATTTTAAGAATCTAGTGCCTCTGGAGTAACAGGTGGTCAAATCCTCTCTTCAAGAAATTACATTTTTGTAGACTTTAGAAACAATTCTGTAGTTACACGTTGACTAAATACTGGCTTATTTTTTAGCGTCCCCATGGTCGGTTCACTTTTAGCTTTAAATTCCTAGAAGAGAACCACCAGTCTGGTCCTCTTTGCTCCAGATTTCTTTCTTTATTACATGGGTTTTCGGGAACAATTGTACAATGCATGGAAAGCATTGGTTTTGTTCAGAAAAGCTCTGAAATGACTCTATTTCCACTGTGATTACTACTTTCCAAGAATAAGAATCATGACAATAGCTAAGAGTTTGGGCTCGACCTACATTATCTGATTTAATCCTTCTAGTAAAGGGATTTCCACTCCCCTTTCAAAGATAAGAACCTGAAGCTTAGCCAGGGTAAGCAACCTGCCCAGGGCGGTGGCCCTGACTAAAGTGGGATTTACCTCTCCTTTTGTGGCCTGAAGCCTCTGTGCTGGAGTTCTGTGAATGAAACGGTGTGTGAAGGAGCTAGTGGCTTTGCAGCTCTGGGGTGCGGGCAGGAGTCTGCACAGCCCATGCTCTCTCCCAGGAGAAGGGAACAATGGGAATATCAAGTCACGTTCAGAATGGGCAGGGTTTGTAGAGAGTTTCTTCTGTCCATTCATGAGTCCCTACAATACTGAATTTATCTGAATGTAACGTACATTTGAGGGCTATACTGTGCTGTGAAGTGTGTCTTACGTAACTTTGGATGTATTTGGATTGTGTCATCATACTGTTCAGTATCACGAAGGTGTCTTTTAAGTTCCCTCTCAATTTACGTGTTATTGGAGCTTATAGACTATTCCTAACCAAACTGGGTGTGTTCAGGTTCAGATAGCCAGAAAAAAGAAAACAAAAGTAAACTCATGTTGAGTTCCCTGGCAGAGTTCATCGTCCCAATCTTTTCCTCTCCTCCCCTGTCCCATTTCATTTGTGCCGCGTGCATTTCTCAGCCATTTGGACCTTCTGGGGAGCACGGCTCCGAGGCTGGTCCATGGCTGGCTGGGCCTTGAGAAACAGTGGGCATTGTATTATGTACTGATCGTGATTGCCTTTCCAGCCATCTTTCTGTTTTAATTATAAATATTTTCTTTTCTCTCTACTCTGCCACCAAGAGTCTTTGGCTGCTCCTGACCTCAGCAAATCAAGAGGTGACTTATGCATGCCAGTTGTTCATTGATACTCACTAAAAAAAATTGGTAAAGGTTTGCCCCAACGGCTGACTTGCTTCACTTGTCCGCTCCGTGGATGCCGCAGTAACTGAGTCCAGAGCTGTCTGTGCTGCATTCTAAACCCGTCGCCTCGCCTGCGTGTCCGAGGAGTTCCGTAATCTCCGGGGCGGGGGGAGCATCCCCATATCGGGGAGTTTCTAAAAAAAATAATATAGTCCAAAATGATTCTTTGTCCTTGTAAAAGTAACAAAAACTGGGTGTTGTAATCGATCCAAACTTGGGCTGTTTTTCAGTTTGGGGTTGCATTTTGCTTGACTTGGAAGCATGCTTTGTTACGTACCTTTATTAATGTCTGTAAAGGAATTTTATTTTGTAATGTTAGCATGTCACTGTGTCCTGAGCCTGAACTGATCCCCTTCGGATAGAGCAGTGGGTCCTGAAGGGCTGATGGGAAGCGCTTGTTGGAAAGTACCCGTCCTTCAGATGCCGGCACACTGCTTCTGTTCAGACTTGTTTGCTTTCCTTGAAAGTTAGGCACCTCCGTGAAACTGTAGGTCCCCCTTTTGGAACCAGAGCCTAGTTCAGAGAGGTTGTCAAAACTCGGTCAGGGTGAGGCGGGCAGCGGGAGGCCCTCAAAGCATTGAGCAGAGGTTTCCGCAGGGAGGAACCCGTGGGAAGCCTTTGCGCTTGTTCTACACGGAGCTCTTTGTGCACTGGCACAGACAGCGGGGAGGAAAGACACTGAAATCTGTTCTCTCTCCTACCAAGGCTATCACTGGGATACGTCGGATTGGATGCCGAGCGTTCCTCTGCCTGATATACAAGAATTTCCCAATTACGAGGTCATTGACGAGCAGACCCCACTCTACTCAGCAGATCCGAATGCCATCGACACAGACTATTACCCCGGAGGCTACGACATCGAGAGCGATTTCCCACCGCCACCAGAAGACTTCCCCGCGCCTGACGAACTGCCGCCCTTGCCTCCGGAATTCAGCGACCAGTTCGAGTCCATACACCCTCCCAGAGACATGCCCGCTGCGGGCAGTCTGGGCTCCTCCTCGCGAAACCGGCAGAGGTTCCACTTGAATCAGTATCTGCCCAATTTCTACCCCGTCGATATGTCTGAACCTCAAAAACCAGGCGCCGGCGAGAACAGTCCGTGCAGAGAACCCTATGCCCCCTTCCCTCCAGGGTACCCCAGAAACTTTGAAGCCCCGCCCGCAGAAACCATGCCCCTGTCCGTGTACGCCTCCGCGGCCTCCTGCTCTGACGTGTCGGCGTGCTGTGACGTGGAGTCGGAGGTCATGATGAGTGACTACGAGAGCGGGGAGGACGGTCACTTCGAGGAGGTGACGGTGCCCCCGCTGGATGCGCAGCAACACACGCAGGTGTGACGCTCAGCCTCCCCCCAAAGTGCCTGGACCTGAACAAACCTGGAGCTGGTTCTGTACGTGATCTTGCGCATCGTTCTCCGCAGCAGTGCTTCAGCGCTTTTCCTTCCTTTCTTCTTTTTGGGTGAGCTACGATGGGCATGGCTGCACTGAGTCACGCACCTCTGGACAAGTTCGCCATTTCCGGTGTCCGAACCCACTGTCACGGGAGGAGGTTTCCTTTGGCCGTGCCGTTTCCGAACCTCTGTCTGCATTTACATGTGTCTGTTAAAATAATGAAACAAAAAATCAGTCCTATCACCTTGTTAGCATGATTCATGTATTTATATAGATTTGTTCTTTTTTTTTGTAAATTTTATGTACAGATTTGATTTCTCATAGTTTTAACTAGGTTTTTCAAGCTATCTGGTGCATTTGTTTTTGACCGAAATTTGGTGGTGTTAGCGTCATTACCTAGCACCCTGATTTTTTACTATAACCAGGGTTTCATTATATGTCCTCTTCCACTGAAGTACGACATTTCATTAAGACATTTCAATATAGTCTTTGATTTCTAGCTGTACATAGGAGGAGGAAAGATCTTCCACATGGACATGTCTTAAATGAGTTACTGTATTTTAGAATTATAAACATTTTTCATTACTGGAAAGTGTAATGGGGACCTTCTGCTCACCTGTTTAGAACCAAAACCATCACGACACAGTTTTTATAGTGTCTGTATATTTGTGATGCAACGGTCATGTAAAGGTTTTTACTGAAAACTACCATTAGCCAGTCTTTCTTACTGACAATAAATTATTAATAAAATACTTTAGCGTTACTGCCTGTTTTTCCTGTGTTTAGACCCTTGTTTAGGATTTAAAGAGGAGTTGACAAAGAACGCCGGACGGGTGTAGAGACCTTAGGTTTTTGGGGCCTTCGATGTGAAGGGCCCAGATGCCAAACCAGGTGGTACTTACAGATGTAGCCACTAGGTGGCAGTACACGGCCGCTTGAGCCCGCTCAGAGTTCAGGTGTAAGCCCAAGACCCTGCTCTTTTCTGTGTTTTCCAATTAAAACTTCAAGAAAACTTTCCTTTGTACATTTTCTCAGTATTTATTGGGTATCATTTAAAGGCTTCTATGGTCTTCACCTCTGACTTTATCAAAAACAAAGTATAGAGCATTTTATCTTCTGTAATCGAGGAACACCTACTTGTGTATGATTTAGTCTGAAACCAAGAAACTATTTGCCATGTGGATACAGTGAAATTGGTACTTAGTACCTGCCCTGTGTCCTATGACATGCAGGACAGATTCAGGCGCTCTCAGAACTTCAGAAAGCTACTTTCTTCAAGTAAATGAAGTAAATGCCTTCTTTGCTTTACCAGAGGAGATCAGGTGCATAGTCTGAACATCAGACTGGCTCTGATAACGGAGAAACAGCACCCTCAGACCTTCTGCTGTACCCAGGTGCAACTCGGAGCAGTTTCCTGTTTCCCTGTTCATATGTTTATGCTTATGTTAGGCTTCTGGGGTCACTAATTTTTTTAGGAATTGCATATTAATGCAGCGTGATGTTCAAGGAAGACCTTGTAACTGTTAACCCACCTCCATGTAGTTAAACGCTGACTTTTGGATTAATGCACATACAGGGTTCGCACTGTTTTGGAGGTGGTAACACTGCTGCACTAAGTGTAGAACATGATGTTTATTTCCATTTACCTTGCTACTTTCCCTTTTTCTGAAACAGTTGCCTTAATTTTACTTTTCAAAATCTGAAGCTATTTCATTAATTTATCCAAAAGAATTTTTTGGTCACCTACTGTATGTGATTGTTCACAAAAGGACAAAAACCCCTACCTTGTCTGCTCCCTGTCACGGCATATACACAGCGGTGTGGGGGGGAGGGGAGGCTGCTGAAAACCACAGGTGCGCGCTGCGCTGCGTGGGGTGAGGCCCAGGCTCCTCCCTGCCGCCCCGAGGGCTGCGCGGTCAGCGTCTGGATGAGAGGAAGCTTTGGTAGAACTCTGGGAAATCCTGCTCTGTCTCCTCCTCCTGTGAGTTGGTTTCTGTGAAATCTAAAGTAGTCAGGAACTAGATCATCTTCGCAAAATTAGCTTGAATTCCTATTGAGTTTTCGGTGACTTCATAGACATCTAGCAGTTAGGTTTGTAATCTGTCAGACCTGGAAAACTACCCCAGCGCCCATCCACCACCCCCAGCCTTGCTCCAGTTCCGGGTTCCCCTCCGCTGGCCACCTCTGCCTTCTCCCAGCCCACTGACTCCGCTCTGTAACCTTCTGAAGGTCAACGTGGGCTGCTCATTCTGTTTTGCAGACTGGCGTGGACTTTCTGATGGCTCTTCGTCAGAAGCATCAGGTTCAGTTTCAATTAGTGCACCAGCTGAGAGCAAGTTATTTGTCAGAATTTCATTTCCTCACGGCAGTTCACTGCCTCTACTGCAAACAGAATGAGCCACTTGGAAAGAATGACAAGTATTATTTCTTCCCCCAAGAAAACCTCTGCTTATGTGAACCCTTAGGGAATGAATACACTTGTCCCCGTGCTGTCAGAAAGTGTGGCCCTAGAAGAGGCTAGGTTTTCAAAGGATGCTAGACACAGAAAATGTGTAATGTTTGAATGCAGATGTCACTGGACCTAATAGAGCTCATAGATCTCATAGATCTAATCTCTATCTCTAATCTCTAATCTCATAGATCTAATCTCTAATAGATCTAATAGATCTCACAAAGAGCTACAAGTGCAGGGTCTCTAGGAGACATGACAGATAGCTCAGTGGTTCTAAACCAGAGCCGTTACCCAGTTGTCTCAAAGGAGGAAAGAGAAATTCTCATAATGTCTAACGATGGTTGCTTCAATTAATTGTAATGTTTGTAAGTACCACCCAACAGTTTAGGATACGGGAAGAATACAGGAGGAGGAACAAACCCTCATCTACCCCGGTGCTGTGTCAGCCTCTTCAGGCCTGTCAGAGACTGAGAAGCACAGCCCCACCTCCTTGCCAGATACGGAATATTAGCCCCTGCCAATGAGGATGGCAAACATTTTTCAACGATGCTCTTGTGATTTGTGTTTTTAGGTAATTACCTTAATTGAGTCTTTCCCTTCTTTCAAGGGTAAGTATACTTTTAGTAGAGGCTTTAAGATAGGGTGGAACAAAATAAAATTTTATTTGTAGACCTCACTAAAATTTCTTTAAACCGAATGTGTAAAATGCACAAAGGTTCTCCAACTAAAAAGCTCTTACTGGATTGAGATTTTTTCTAATAATGATCTCAAATGCTAAGTTTTTACTTCTAATGGGGAATTTCACAAGATTTAAAACGTTTTGAAAAAGATTTAAAAATACACTCTGGTCATTGGAAACTGTGGTCTGACCTTTAATTTCTGTGCCATAGTTTTGAGTCACACTGGGGTTCTGGAACTACCCTCCTAATGAGTGTCAGAGCTCGGTTTCTTCTTTACTGGGTTAAGAGCAGTAGCGAACACCTGTGTCTGCACCATGCTTTAAGAGCTGTGGCTATATAACCCTTACAAACCCCATGTGGGGGGACGGGGGAGGATCTCATTCATCTCTTGTCATCGTTTACAGTTTATGTAAGAGAAACAGACATTTGTCTGCCGCGAAGCTGGCAAGCGGTAAAGGCCCATTCAGCCTGGGGGGTCTGAGGGCAGAGCCCACCCTCCTCACCAAGACCTGCTACCCCACCCGGCGGCAGGTGCCCTGCTTCCCCGAATGCCCTGCCTCGGGGAAGCAGGGCATTCCAGGACAGGCTCAGACCGCAGTCCGCACCCCTGCTTAGGTAGCTCTGCATATTTCGGGTTCGGTTTAACTCCGTTCCACGGGAGGGCTCCTTTTTAAAACTGTGGTTTCTTGGGGTACACTTGCAAACTCCCATGCCTTCCGGCATCGGCAGGTGGATACTGCTGGCTTTTGAGCCACAGACCTCAAAGTTCAAAGCTGCGTCCTGCCGCTCATTAGCTGTATGATGAAGAACAAACTTGTATTTAGGTGCTTCCTTTGAAAAGGAGGTGTGAGCCGTCAGTGCCACACAGGAGCTCCACAGAATCAAACCAGCGATCTAAATGAGGGTCCTTAGGAGACCTGCTTACACTCCATTCTGCAATTAGTAACTCTTTGAATCTATCCAGTGGCCCCCCTCCCCTTTAACATTCCCACTTTCCAGATCAGGAAACCCCAACACGAGATAATTTTCTGAAGGTCATTCCACAGGTCAGTGTTGGGACTGAAATCCAGAGCCCTGATCTGGTCTCAAAGCTCCATCCCCAGCCTTCCCTCTGAAGCATCACTGACGCAAACCGGCCTGCACACGCAGAGCTCCTCACCAGCATTCTGGCACAAAGTAGATGTTCACCAAACGCTTTCACTGCTGTTACTCTTTCCTCCCTCTCTGCCACCCCAGTTTTCAAACAGGTATTTTAATAGTTTATTTTTAAGATGTATCATATGGAAGTTTCATATTTGGGGGGTGGGCAGAAGGAGAGGAGGAGGAAGAATCCATGCCCAGCGCAGAGCCTCACACGGCTCAAGCTCACAACCCTGAGAACTTGACCCAAAATCAAGATGCTTAACTAACTGAGCCAAAGTTTCGTTGACTTAGTGCCTTTATAGAACATGCTCTAATTCAAAGAAGCTTCCTAACCCAGTTTAGATTTGATTAATAACCTCGAATCCAAGAGAGTTCGGGCCATTTGCATCTTCATTGTTTTCTACGAAGTCAGTGCATTCCACACTGGAGACTGGATGACGTGGGGCCAGGTAAAGTCTCAAGATGCCAGTTTTGGGCGCCTGGGTGGCTCAGTGGGTTAAGCCTCTGCCTCCGGCTCAGGTCATGATCTCAGGGTCCTGGGATTGAGCCCCACATTGGGCTCTCTGCTCAGCGGTAAGCCTGCTTCCCCTTCCTCTCTCTGCTTGCCTCTCTGCCTACTTGTGATCTCTGTCAAATAAATAAAATCTTAAAAAAAAAAAAAAGATGCCAATTTTGCTGCTCATTCATCCAGAAGTTGTTTCTGAGTATCTTCTCTAGTCAATGAGGGCCAGAAGCATCGTGTTTGCCATGCAGTGAAGGATGGGCAAGACTAAGTCCCCAGTCTTAGTAATGAGATGAGTGTTTGGGGTCACGTTTACAGCTTGCTCCCTTGTGTCTTATTTTTCTATCTGCTTCATTTAACAAAATAAAAGTATCCTCTCCATTCACCTGGGATTCAAACTGTAGTGCTCCTGACGCTCAGGTGCCCCTCCTCACACTCTCTTGTCTCCATCCGTACGTCCATCCTTCCTTCCTTCCATCCTTCCTTCCTTCCATCCATCCTCCTTTTC